TCTGAAAGTGAGATGAGCGCTGCAACTCCATAGTCGCCTTGGACTGGACTTAACCGTCCAGGGGTCCTTTACCTTTTTTAACCTTTAGTTGAGTGAGTACCCTCTATTGAAAGGGAGAAAAGGTTCAATCCTTCCCCTTTTTACAGGGCCAACGTTGGCTCCCATTTGACAAGGTGCCTCATGATATTCTTGTAAAGAAGCTGGTAAAATGCGGTCTTGACTATGCTACCACTCAGTGGATTTGTAACTGGCTGACTGACCGAACCCAAAGGGTGCTCATCAATGGTTCCTCTTCATCCTGGAGAAGAGTGACTAGTGGGGTGCCACAGGGTTCTGTCTTGGGCCCGGTCTTATTCAACATCTTTATCAACGACTTGGATGATGGACTCAAGGGCATCCTGATCAAATTTGCAGATGACACCAAACTGGGAGGGGTGGCTAACACCCCAGAGGACAGGATCACACTTCAAAACGACCTTGACAGATTAGAGAACTGGGCCAAAACAAACAAGATGAATTTTAACAGGGAGAAATGTAAAGTATTGCACTTGGGCAAAAAAATGAGAGGCACAAATACAAGATGGGGACACCTGGCTTGAGAGCAGTACATGTGAAAAGGATCTAGGAGTCTTGGTTGACCACAAACTTGACATGAGCCAACAGTGTGACGCGGCAGCTAAAAAAGCCAATGCAATTCTGGGCTGCATCAATAGGAGTATAGCATCTAGATCAAGGGAAGTAATAGTGCCACTGTATTCTGCTCTGGTCAGACCTCACCTGGAGTACTGTGTCCAGTTCTGGGCACCACAGTTCAAGAAGGACATTGACAAACTGGAACGTGTCCAGAGGAGGGCAACCAAAATGGTCAAAGGCCTGGAAACGATGCCTTATGAGGAACGGCTAAGGGAGCTGGGCATGTTTAGCCTGGAGAAGAGGAGGTTAAGGGGTGATATGATAGCCATGTTCAAATATATAAAAGGATGTCACATAGAGGAGGGAGAAAGGTTGTTTTCTGCTGCTCCAGAGAAGCGGACACGGAGCAATGGATCCAAACTACAAGAAAGAAGATTCCACCTAAACATTAGGAAGAACTTCCTGACAGTAAGAGCTGTTCGACAGTGGAATTTGCTGCCAAGGAGTGTGGTGGAGTCTCCTTCTTTGGAGGTCTTTAAGCAGAGGCTTGACAACCATATGTCAGGAGTGCTCTGATGGTGTTTCCTGCTTGGCAGGGGGTTGGACTCGATGGCCCTTGTGGTCTCTTCCAACTCTATGATTCTATGATTCTATGATTCAACCAAGCATGGGCAAAGATCCATTTACAGTACCTACTATCTGACATGATTGTCACTCCATGTTGTTAGTCTGTCTACAGTGCATATGCCCTGTGTTATTTTAACATCTGATGTGCTGTTGCACTCACCTAGTTCATGACAAACCCAAAGATTCGAAGCAGTGCGGCCTTAAATCCCATTAAGTATTTGGCCATTGGAACTACCCTGAGGAGTCATTTAGTTAAAAGTGTAGTTTCATCCGAGTGGCTGGGGAGCCGCCCAGAGTGGCTGGGGAAACCCAGCCAGATGGGCGGGGTATAAATTATTATTATTATTATTATTATTATTATTATTCCTGATGAACAGACCTAAATTGCTGCTGACAGTTGATTAATCAAAGGGTGGATAGCTGAGTGAGTAGGGATGCGGGTGGTGCTGTGGTCTAAAAGCTGAGCCTCTTGGGCTTGCCGATCAGAAGGTTGGCGGATCAAATCCCCATGACGGATTGAGCTCCCGTTGCTCCTGCCAACCTAGCAGTTCAAAAGCACACCAGTGCAAGTAGATAAATAGGTACCACTGTAGCAGGAAGGTAAACGGCGTTTCTGTGCACCCTGGTTTCCGTCACGGTGTCCTGTTGCACCAGAAGCGGTTTAGTCATGCTGGCCACATGACCCAGAAAGCTGTCTGTGGACAAACACCGGATCCATCGGTCTGAAAGTGAGATGAGCGCTGCAACTCCATAGTCGCCTTGGACTGGACTTAACCGTCCAGGGGTCCTTTACCTTTTTTAACCTTTAGTTGAGTGAGTACCCTCTGTTGAAAGGGAGAAAAGGTTCAATCCTTCCCCTTTTTACAGGGCCAACGTTGGCTCCCATAAGATTTCTAAGATTCTTCCTTCGAAAGCTCCAACGTTCACAGCCATGCAGGTTTCCACTTCCTTGAAAAAGCTTGTACTTTCAGACCTGTGCCCAAAAGGCCCGGATAGTGTCTCCTAGTTGCTGAAATGCACTCATTGTTGTGTGAAGTCTTCCCACGTTTCAGAATGGTGTGGAAACTACTTTTAGACTTCCTTTTCAGTAATCTAGTTGTCGGGGGGGGGGGGGGTTCTGCTTATTCTCTTTTAAATGCAGTTGTACAAAATGCCAGGGACCTGTCTTTAGGATGCCAGTGTTGGATGTCGTCATGTCTAGATTTCTGGTTCTAGCACCACAGTCCCCATTACTGCCTTTAACACTTTTTCCTCTTCTGTAATTCCTGAAAAATTCCCTTGTCTACATGCTGGGGAATTCTGGGTAGATATTCTCTCTTGGAAGAAGCCACTCTGGACCTCAGTTCTCTATTGCCCCAGAAGACTGAATGAATGTTAGCCTATTCTGATCTTGAAGGACATGTGCTTAGGACACCCTATTTTGTAGAACTCCAAATCAGCTGGGAACATCCTTCTTGAATTATTTTTGGTTACAGAAGCCCTTCAGTCAAACATTGGTTGAGAAGAGTAAATGCAAAGCTTCAAGAGGGCCTCCTACCTTCGTACCTTCTTTTGGAAAGGTAGGAACAAGTGGACACGACGTTCAGTAGGTGGGTATCAAAAATTTGTTTATTAAGTAATCTCCACTTCTGGTACATTTTGAGCCTGAAGAACTTTTGTTGCCGTCTATATGTTAAAAGTGAAACCATTTATCACATCACATGTGCAAAATTATATATTGGAATTATATCTCTGTTTCTATATATTTCATTGCTACCAATCTATGGGCTGTTAGAATGAATTGGTGCACATTGTCGAACATATTGATGCTTCCGTGTGCACCTCTACTTGTGTTCTAGCACCACATTAATTTATCATAGTAGGAGAACACAAGTGTAATTAGATGCTTAGCCATTTTCTTAGTACATCTTTTTTTATCTTAATACCACTTACCTTAATTTCATAGGACTTCCTTCTGAGTAGACTTAGTTAGGATTGCACTGTTACTCATTAAACAATGACTAGTATAATATCCTTTTTCACTTTTTAAGAAAGAATTATTATTTCAAAATTCAAGATGTAAAATAAAGACACATGTAGGAGTTTTCCAACAACACAACAATTTTTGAACTCCCTTTCCCCCAGTGGAACATATAATCAACCACAATGTCTTGGAATTCAAAACAGTTTCAGACACTGTTCGTTACAAAATCAGTAGCGTAACATGTGAAACAACCAGTTCCCTTTGCACAAACAGAAAGCGCAAAATCTAATACATATATCCAGACATGTATCTTGAGAATCCTCAAAGTCACAAAAGAGCCAGATTGCCAGAAAGTCCTTCATTTCCCATTTTCCCAAAGAGACCAATCTCAGATGAGTAAATTTTTCCATGAAAACAGATCCCATCCCTTAGGTAACTATTAAAATCAAATATTTAAGGGGGGTGGAACTGAATCAAAACATCAGTGCTTGTTGTTTGCAATGCTAAGACACATTAGGAGGTAATTTGGATATAGCTTTATGCATGTATTAAAGTTTGCTACACTTTTGGTTAGGAGGCAATGCAAGAACCTTGAGGAAATGCTCAGACATATCTGTCTATTTCTGGCCCATGTGTTCATTCAAGAGTCCATTCTAACCCATCTTTGCTGTTTTGAACTAAAAAAATCCACATGAAATTCATACAAATTTTGCGTGCTCAGACCCAGAGACCTCCCTCCTAAATAAAGACACATTTGACTCAAATTTTAGTTTTGGTTTTTGGCAGAATTTAGGTCACAACTTTATTGATTGCAGAAAAGTGAGTGGTTGCATAGGCTCTGGTTCGACTAGCTCCCTACACCCTTGCAGGAAGTGCTGACCCAGAACTCTATCATAGGTCAGCTAAGCGTGAATACCTGAGGTAGGTGAAAAGCCTGGGAGCAGAATCTATTCACTCCCCAGATGCTCCCCTGGACTCAGACACGGGCACTACCCCTTTTCGGGGGTTGGCCAAACCAAGTTGAGTCCCTGGATTCCTTTAATGGAGTACCCTTCACATAGGGATGGCGAGGCCTATTCGCAACCTTACAAGTTGTGACAAATTGCTACGTGGAAGGCGAAACCCAGATGGCCACAGCCAATCAGCAAAGTGGGGAAATTCCTGCTGTGCCCCTGTCCCAACGACAGACAACATACAACAGCATAGCAAGGTCAATAGCAAAAGGCCCTAAAATTAGGGAGAGGAGGGTGGGTGTTCCGATGCACGAGCCGAAAGAGGAAGCTCTGGGTCACGTGCATGGGTTTATATAGGTCCCTCGATCCGTTTAGACTGGAACCCCATTGGCCAGATTGAAACCCAGCATCAAGGGACCTACCAATCAGGTGTTGTGGCTATCCAAGGGACCCACCCACCCAAGAGGTCAGTCTCCAGATCTCACCGCAACACGTGCCCTCACAAAGTATGTGTTTAAATATGAATGCATTATTGCACACGTTTCTAAACTTATCCTAAAATAATATTTTCAATGCACTGTGAGGGCTGTGATTTGCACTCCAAAATTCAGAGAACTGCAAAATCAGAAGGACAATTGCATTCTCATACGCTCATTAATGAATGGGCATTGTGCAGTATTCCATTTACTTCATTATGGACTGCACAGAGGAACCACCCATCGGCTTGTACTCAGTTGTAAGTAGAGTCTTAAGGCTCCCTTCGTATGAAAGCAATGAGAGACCTTTAGTGGTGTCAGCAGAAAAGGCAGCCTAGGATTCAGTCAGCCTGTATAGCTCTGTTGGTTGGAGCGTGATGCTGAAAATGCCAAGGTTGTGGGTTCGATCTCTGCATGGGACAGCATTGAACCTGGCATGATCAGTACCATGCTCTAATCAACTGAGCTATCCAGTTGAGTCAGAATACAGCTTCCGTTATCCCTGGCTATTGGTCATGCTGGCTGGGGCTGACAGGACTTGGGGAGTTCAGCATCATCTGGAAGACATCAGGCTCCCCATCCCTGCTTTCGATAAATGGAGTTAACAGAAACATAGGCTAGAACATTGACTGCCATGTTAAATCCACTTATCAGAATCGGTATATAACAAAAACAACAACAGCAATTTATTATTTATTATTTATACCCCGCCCATTTGGCTGGGTTTCCCCAGCCACTCTGGGCGGCTTCCAACAGAATATGAAAATACAATAGTCTATTAAACATTAAACGCTTCCCTAAACAGGGCTGCCTTCAGATGTCTTCTAAAAGTCTGGTAGTTGTTTTTCTCTTTGACATCTGGTGGAGGGTGTTCTACAGGGTGGGTGCCACTACCAAGAAGGCCCTCTGCCTGGTTCCCTGTAACTAGGCTTCTCGCAGTGAGGGAACTGCCAAAAGGCCCTCGGCCTGGACCTCAGGGTCTGGGCAGAATGATGCGGTGGAGATGCTCCTTCAGGTATACTGGGCCAAGGCCATTTAGGGCTTTAAAGTATAGCAGGGATGGGGGGAGCCTGGTACCATCTTGATGTTCTTTGGACCACAACTCCCATCAAGCCCAGTCAGCATGGCCAAAGGTTTGGGAAGATGGGAACTGTAGCATACCAACATATGGAGGACCCTCCCTACTGTATAGTTTCAATCCAAGGCACAGAACCCTTAGAATCAACAACTGCTAGTAAAGAACTTCTGTGAAATGATATATAATGAGTTGAAAAATATGTTGAAATATACCTTTTTTAAAAAACCAGAAGCATTTCTACTTGGTATTATGGGTCAGGATATTAATAGGCAAGATGTTAAATTGTTTTTATATGCAACAACAGCAGCAAGAGTATTGTTAGCCCAGAAATGGAAGCAAGAAGAAATTCCGACGAAAGAAGAATGGCAGACGAAAATAAAGGACTATGCAGAATTGGACAAAATGACAGGAAGGGTTGGAAACTTGCGAGACCAGAGATTTACAGAAGATTGGGAAGAAGTATATGAACTATTTGAAGAGCAATTGTAACCAACAAATTATGCTAGGTGGACTACAAGAAGATTTGTAAGGAGAAATATATGAAGTGCTACAAAGTAGGTAAAGAATAGAGATACTGGTTATGAGTTTTAAATGTAACAGAGAAAATAAGAAATGTCTACTAAGAGATTAGACTGGAAAATTTTCAGACAGGACTGATGGAAGTCAAAAAATTGAATAAGATGTAAAAAATATGTTTAATCACTGTTGAAAATGGTATGTTATATATATATATATAAATAAAAAATCAGCAACTGCTACTGGAAAATTATCAGCCCTCCCTGAGTTTAAGCCTGGCAGCATGTGACTGCAACTAGCATAGACTGAAGCCAGTGTATGAATTGGCCATTTGCTCATCATCAATGCCACCAAAAGCAATTGCAACTTGATTGCAACACGTTGTACCGACTGCATGCCAGAGACAGTCATGCAGCCCTCCCTTCTTGCCAAGTCACCACTTCCTATGCACCACTGGGTTGAGACTCAGCACCGATCATGGCAGCTTCCTGCTGAGGGAGCTGTGTGAGTAGGCCCTCAGGATTGTACCAATTCCTGCTACAGCAAATAGCAAAGAATCTTCCAGAGCTGCCCACACTAGGCTTGGCTCACCTAACAAGGAATCTTGTTGAAAGGTTTTAAGTCTTGCAGTTGGATGTGACCGCTCCGCTCTGGAAAACATTACATGTTGTGCTTCCATCAGTTCTAGCGTTTCCCCCTAAGGATCTCACACATCCAAACTCCCAAGCTCTGTTCTGTTCCTCGCACCACACCCGCAAATAAAAATACATGAGCTCTTCTGCATTGCGTTAAGAAAGCCCAGGAATTTGAACAACTCAGCTCCATTTTTTACAGCATTGCTTGATGGCAATGGAATTCCATTCTGTTTTCTATTTGTCGACAGAAAAGAAGCAAAGGATTTCGAATTAGTCAACGTGTAAGTGGGCTCTAGTGGGTGGTTGTTGCTGAAGCTCATAAGCCATGCCATCAAAACATCCGCACCAGGCGTGTCAGAAATCTCATTAAGTGGAGAAGCAGGTGGATGGATTTGGATGTAGAATAAAAGGCCAAGAGGCCCTATTGAACACTTTGCTTGTTTGATCCAAGAACTTCTGGGGAAATGCTGCCTCTATTCAAGGGACCTGTGGTGAGGTACTTGGTACAGTGGAACCTTGGGTTACATAAGCTTCAGGTTACATACACTTCAGGTTACATACGCTTCAGGTTACAGACTCCGCTAACCCAGAAATAGTGCTTCAGGTTAAAAACTTTGCTTCAGGTTGAGAACAGAAAGTGTGCTCCGGCGGCGCGGCGGCAGCGGGAGGCCCCATTAGCTAAAGTGGCGCTTCAGGTTAAGAAGAAGCAGAAGAAGAAGAGTTTGGAATTGATATCCCGCTTTATCACTACCCGAAGGAGTCTCAAAGCGGCTAACATTCTCCTTTCCCTTCCTCCCCCACAACAAACACTCTGTGAGGTGAGTGGGGCTGAGAGACTTCAGAGAAGTGTGACTAGCCCAAGGTCACCCAGCAGCTGCATGTGGAGGAGCGGGGAAGCAAACCCGGTTCCCCAGATTACAAGACTACCGCTCTTAACCACTACACTACACTGGCTCTCAAGAACAGTTTCAAGTTAAGTACAGACCTCCGGAATGAATTAAGTACTTAACCTGAGGTACCACTGTATATTACAGGGATGGGGAACCTGTGCTCCACGCTGCCCCCGATGTTGCTGGACTCCAACTCCCATCAGCCCCAAACAACAGCCCCATCCCTGTAACATCTGGAGGGCCACAGGTTCCCACTCCTCACGTTTACAATTCTCTAGACTTCTCTAGTTTACAATTAAATATTAATTGCATTGATTGTTGTCTCTGTGTTTGGCTATTCACATGAACCACCTGTCAATGTATGGGGCTGTTGGTGAATTGTGGAAGTTAGGTTAGAATGGAGAGGAAACTAGTTCAGCGAAGAGGAGAAATGTGATTCACCACTTGGTTTGGGACTTGATGCACTTGCGCAGCAATTGCTGTGAGGTGGGTTGCTGCAGTGTCTACACAGTTTACTGAATTTCAGGCATGGGGTTGGTCTTAAGCAGGCTTCCTTAACCTCGGCCCTCCAGATGTTTTGAAACTACAATTCCCATCATCCCTGACTACTGGTCTTGCTAGCTAGGGATCATGGGAGTTGTAGGCCAAAAACATCTGGAGGGCCGCGTTTGAGGAAGCCTGGTCTTAAGTATTGAAATAATAATGCTAATATTCTCTGTATCGTTCCAGTTTTAGTATGTGTGCTGCCAAAAAGGACACCCTTTAATCTTGACAATATGACAACACTCACAGCTTATGAACAGACTGCTGACAGATGTAGACTTTGTTTGGATAAATATGTATGGGAGTATATTGCATTGCATTTGTCTGTGTATATCTGCACACATCTATTTTCCCCCTTTTACATCTGTACCACTTTATTTATTTATAGTTGAAATTCTTTCCATAAAATCTTAATATTAAAGAAGTATTGAAATACTAATGAGAGAATTATCCTTAATCTGATTCACTTCTCAAAGGGATATTTAAAACCAGAGATGGCCCTATCATTATGCACAGTAAAGCAGCTGCCTCAGGTGGAAGATGCTGGGGAGCAGCAGTGAGGTGCTTGGCAACACAGCTGTGGGCGCACACCAAGTACGTGCATTCCCTAGCCTCCTGCCCTCAGGTTTGGTGGAGGACATTATCTCATCTCCGCTGTAAGTTAGATCCAACTGCTAGTCCAGGTGGCTTCTGTATGTGGAATGGCAAGTAGGGGAGCCTTCTTCTTTGATGATCCCATGGATTGTCTTCCATGAACATGGTCTTAACAGTGAGTCCATAAGTGACTGTGGAGGCGAATTCTGGATCCACAAGTCCTTCCACAGTGGGGATATAGGTTACCAGGGGGCACTGATCATGGTGAGGGTTTGTCAAACATGCCTTCCTCTTAGCACATTTCTCCCTTTTTTCCTGAGTTTGAAAGTCTTCGAAGCTCATGACACCTTTGGTAAAGGCTGTTCTCCAATTAGAGTGCTCGCAGGCCAGTGTTTCCCAGTTGTCGGTGTTTATCCTACATTTTTTTAGATTTGCCTTGAGAGAGCCTTTAAACCTCTTTTGTTGACCACCAGCATTACGCTTTCCATTTTTAAGTTTGGAATAGAGTAGTTGCTTTGGAAGACTATAATCAGACATCCGCACAACATGACCAGTCCAACAAAGTTGATGTTGAAGAATCATTGCTTCAACACTGGTGATCTTTGCTTTTTCCAGTACACTGGCATTAGTTCACCTGTCTTCCCAAGTAATGTGCAAAAATTTTTGGAGACACTGTTGATGGAATCTTTTGAGGAGTTGGAGATGGGGTCCACGTTTCACAAGCATACAGTAAGGTTGGTAGTACAATGGCTTTGTAAACAAGCATTTTGCCAATGTCCCGGTCCTCAAACACACTGCACTTCAATCAGGAGAAAGCTGCACTTGCAGAGCTCAGGCGATGCTGGATTTTGGCATCAATGTCAGCCCTTGTGGAAAGATAACTGCCCGGGTAGGAGAAGTGATCAACATTTTCCAATGTTACACCACTGAGTTGGATTTGTGGCGCTGCAGAGGGGTTGTTTTGTGCTTGTTGGCGCAGCACTTCGGTTTTTTGGATGTTGAGCGACAGGCCAAGCTTTTTGTAAGCTTCTACGAAGATATTTAGGATGGTTTGGATATCATCCTCTAAGTGTGCATACACTACGTTGTCTTCAGCATATTGAAGCTCTATGACAGAAGTTACGGTAACCTTACTCTTTGCTTTCAGCCTACTCAAATTAAAGAGCTTTCCATCTGTTTGATACACAAAGGGGAGTTTCCTTTCAACAAAGTGTAGGAGCATGGCAATGAAAATAATGAATATAGTTGGGTCGATAACACAACCCTGTTTAACACCTGATCCCACTGTGAAAGGTTCACTTTGAGAGCCATTGTCATCTGCAATAACCACCTTGTCCTTGGCAGCCACATTTCCTGGCCCAGTCCAGTATATGGCAGAGGGATGATGTTGCTAAGAAACATGCCTTGACTTGCTTGATGTTGTGCATTCCTCAGCCACTCATTTTCCATGTGGCCCTCATCCGTGCACCCTGCCATATGGCCATGGCTTAAAATGAATTCACACCTCTTACTGAAGCTATGCATGTGGTGCCCCATAAAAAGGAAGGCGATTAAGGCCAAGAGTCACATAGCTAGCAAGTTTGGTCATGTGTGGGGAGCTAGGAAGGAATGTGCAGCCCTTCTATCAATCGTGCATGTTTTCCTATCAGCGGCAGGCTCTGCTTCCATGCACATGAGTGTCCTCAGCTCATCCTGTTAAAACACCTCACTTACCATGCTGCTTCCAGACCAGAACCTGATCCCCAAAGCCTCCACCCTTTTTAGTGATGTTAATCCCCATAAGAACATGCTTAGCCCTGAAATCGCTTTTTAAATTGTAATATAATCACCCTGCCCTGAAAGATATCAACACGCCAGTTTGCAAGGAAGGAGAAAAGAGGTGAGTCAGATCACATTTTTTTTAACGTGGGCAAACTTAACCTAAGTTGCCTTTGTTTGCACACAGGAGCTACTCTGCCTTAATCTATATTTCTGCTGATAGCCCTTATTTCTGCTGATATAAAACTACTGGTTGAAATTGTCTTCACTGCCAGCTGCTCCCACTTGCTCTCAGTTTGCATACATGCTATACATTTAAAGTATGTTGCATCCCCTCAGAGAATTCTGAAAATTTTCCACAAGTAATGCCTTAAGATGGCTGATATAAGGTAGCTGATAAGAGTTATCTACGTGAAATCACAAGGCCAATTCAGAATGCAGATAATTCTCCCCACCCTAATCTAAATGGCTAAATGCTTTTGCTCCTGAACGCAGCCCTGTTCCAACTGGCCAAAAGCCTAACTAAAGCACGACCCCCATTTTGTCTCAGCCTTATTCCCATACCCATTCTATGCAGGCATTTAAAGTCCTCCAAGATTCAAGCATGCTTTTAAAGACGTGTTTTTAAGGGTGGAGGCTACCGAACTATAGTCGGCATCTAACCATTTTTTAGACTTGCTGCCAATATTGGGGTTTTTTAAGTGGAATTTGGGTTGAGTACTGTGGTTCTGCCAGTTCTGAATCCAGATCTTAAAATTCTGGCAGTCGTTCTGGAATTTGCTTTGCTTTTGATGAATCCACGTATGAGACATGCTTTCGCGAGGAAGCCTTTTGAATTCTTGCAATATTTCTGTTCTCTCACTGTTCTAAATTCTTTTCCGTCAAACCATCTGATCCGCCTTTGCCCCAAATAATTGTCATTCCTGTGAGCAAAACATGCAAGGACAAGAGCTATTTTTCCGTGGGGAACAGGGTGGATTCTTCCAAGAAATCCCCCCTTATTCAGTCCCTACTCATTTCAGTGGTTTCTGAGGAGTCGTGCTTGAGCTGATTCAAGTCTTCATGTTTGGTTTAAAGTAAAGTGCAAAGGCTGGTGTAATGGCTCTGGGATATCTTAACTAGTGGCTTCATTTAAACTCTTTCCACGTTGCAAAATGGCATCCCAATCTCCCCAGAGCTGCACTTGTCTGATTAAGTTTTCATGTTTGGCTTGGGAGGTCAACTGAAGTGCTCTTGACATTACTAGACAAATTACTATTAACATTCTTTCCATAGCCTTGAGAATTGATTGCTTTAATTGGTACCATATACTTTTAAAAATAAATGCAAAGGCTTCTAGTACACATTTAGCCTGAGAAAAATATATTTAGAAAAGTATTCAAATCTGTTACTTTACTATTAATGTCTGCTACTTAAATTGCGGGATAATTATTATCACTTGTATGGCTTCCAGAACAGATTTTTCAGGTGTGTGTTTTTCCTTTTCCTCACTTTTACAAATTTCCCCAAGTTCATGGTGTTTTCAGTGAACTTGGCTGTAGAAGGCAATTTATTCCGGGGAAGGTGGGGATATGGGCTGTCATTTTGATGCTGATGAAGTTGTGTATCTCTGCAAAAAATATCCCCAGACAATTTGTATGCATAAGAAGCACCCAAACCACCATAAACGTCCATCTAGAAACACTGTGAATTGCAGTCACTGGCTGCTTCTAAATTGTTGCTATTTTGTGGCAGGCTTCACTCAAATACTGGCAGATGGAAGTTGCACAAAGTGATTTTGCTGGTCTTATACAGCAAGAAAATTCTGACTTTTGTGGTAAGGAAAGCAGCAGGGGATGTGTTTATTTATTTGTTTGTTTGTTCATTTATTCATTTATAAATCACTCATCCTCCAAAAAAAGAAGAAAGCCCAGAGTGATGTGCAACAAACATGTTAGCAGCATACAAAAAATAGCTCTAAAATGTATTTTTAAAGCATCAGGTCAATTAAAATGGAAATTCTTACATTTCTGGTGAGCAATAAACCTCTCATTTATTATTGTAAAATGCAAGTGTGGGATAACCATTGCTTGACAAATCAGTAAAAATGCTCAATAAGCAGACTAGGTTACACACCATCCCTGCAAACATAGCTCAAACTTTTCAGGTTGAGTGCTCAATAAACATTTTTAAAGCATTGGGAAGTGACCACTGTACCTACGCGGATGGCGCTGTGGTCTAAACCATTGAGTCTAGGGCTTGCTGATCGGAAGATCGGCAGTTCGAATCCCCACAACGGGGTGAGCTCCCGTTGCTCGGTCCCTGCTCCTGCCAACCTAGCAGTTTGAAAGCACGTCAAAGTGCAAGTAGATAAATAGGTACCACTCCGGTGGGAAGGTAAATGGTGTTTCTGTGTGCTGCTCTGGTTCGCCAGAAGTGGCTTAGTCATGCTGGCCACATGACCCAGAAGCTGTACGCCGGCTCCCTCGGCCAGTAAAGCGAGATGAGCGCCGCAACCCCAGGGTCGCCTTTGACTGGACTTAAACATCCAGGGGTCCTTTACCTTTACATTTTACCCTATAAGGGCTGGGTAATCTTTCAGGTATCTTGGTCCCAAGCTCTGAAGGGCTTAATACACAAAAAACAGCGCCTTGAACTTAGCCCAGGATCTAACTGGCAGCCAATTGTTGTCAATGTTCGCAGTGACCTTGAGACACACATACATTTGCATACACTTAGTTATACAGTATTTGTATATGTCCACAATATTATTAATAGCCCAAAGCTTTCAGAAAGGACTGAAGAGCATTCACCACAATATTAGGGCAGGTGGATATGTATGCACAGCTTGGAGGTGTTTTGAATATTTCCCCTTCATCCATTCACCCAGTGCACTATGACAGTCTAGGACTTTAGCCTTTGAACGGAGGAAATTAAGCTGCCCCTTGATTGTGTGTATGTGTGTGTTTATCTTCATGGAATAGGCAAAGCAGTTTTATACTACTGTTAAAGTGAGAATGCAACTGCTTTTCATGTTTCACTTAATTTTTTAAAGCTGTCTTTCAGAGGAAGTGGAACTTAACATGATTAAACTGTTGCAGGGGGAAGGACAGGGGGAAGGAGTTAAATTCAGCCAATTTACGTTCATTATAAACAATTCTAAATTCCTAAGCTAGTATGGTATAGCTAACATATGTCACACACTACAGTAAGGCTGATGTACCCTTTAACATTTTAACAGTCCATCAGACATTAATGTGACTTAAACATCAAAAACAGGTTCATTTTGCCATTAATATCCTGAAACAAGAACATCTAATATACACATCCTGAGATTTAATCTGTAAACATAACCAAAAATGTCTGGGGCGGAGGGTTTTTTGTTTACATTTCAGTAGTGCTACTTCCATGAAGCATGAGTGGGACTGTCTTTCGGGTTAACTTAAAAGGCTCTCTTTGTGATAGGATACTGATGTCTTCTCCTATAGAAGCCTTCTGCTGACATCCCAGCCCCTTTGTAGAGGTATCACAGTTGCAGCTCATGATAAATGTGGCTCATAAAAGGGCAAACGTTTCTGGCCGACAACACTTGCACACAAAGGCACACTTGCGGGGTCTGTGTCCTGGCCATTTCCTGGTTTGTGAACTGGATGTGAAGCAAGGTAAAATTCAACACAAATTGAAGGAGAAGGAGAAGGAGAAGAAATAGAAGCCATTCTGCCAGGATATAGTCTATCAGATCAGTAGGGGTGGGGTGGAGGCAAATAGAGGGAGAAGCACTGTAGGATCAATTTTGTTCTTTGCGTGTCGAGGTCCCCAAGCCACCCCAAATAACTCACACCTCACACAGAATTTTTGTTTAAGGTTTTTGGCATAGTTTTGGCCACAACTTTATTAAAATACAAAATGTGAGTGGTTGCTTAGGCATTGGTTGCGACTATCTGCCCCCGATGGGGACAGACTGACATTTCGCAATCCTGCGAAAGCCAGAAAAGGGGAATACATTTTGGGGATTGTGATGGAGCAGGGAACCTGCCCTCAGCCCTCCCCAAAAGCAACCAGGGGCTCTTGTGTGGCCCTAGCCCCTTGACAGGGTTCGGACAAAAGCAATGGTGAGCCCCTGTATTCCTTTAACGGAATACCCTTGCAGCAGCAGCATTAGAGGGGCAGGCACAGCCAATCCATGCTCCTCAACCAACCAAACCAAAAACCAATGCCTAACCGCAACCTTACAAGTTGTGATGAATTGCTACGCAGTAGGCAAAAACCAAATAGCACCAGCCAATCAGCCAAATGGACAAAATTCCTACCAAGCCCCTGCCCCAAAGCAGACGACCCCATGACAGGCATAGCAAGGTCAAAGCGAACAACCCTAAATATAGGGAGGTGGGATGGGCAATCCGATGCACGGAGCGAAAAGAGGAAGCTCTATGCTTCGTGCAGGGAGTTTTAACGTTTCAAGCTGTCAATCACAAAATGGCAACATTAACTTCTTCCCAACCACAAGGGAAGCCCAATCACAACAGTGGCCAATGATCAATTAGCCCGCCCCACAATTTTGGAGTGTCTTGTCAGCCCCCACCGCAACCCGTGCTCTCCATGAAGGAGAACACGCTTTCTCTGTTCAAAAGTATGGCTACCCTCATGTATGGGCGTAGCCAGGATTTAAGTTACAGGGGAGCAGGACACCAACTTGTCACCATCCTCTGTCTCTCTCTGCCTAGCAGATTTGGAATGAAATGTCTCAACCACAGTTGCTTTAAATTACTTTCTTTTGACCCCGAGGGCTCAGAAAAACCTGCCAAAATCTTCGCCAGGATGTGCCCACAACGTCATCCAAGTGACCTCAGCAAGAGTTTCAATTTCAAATATTCTGATCGCTGCTAATTTTATTTAGGTATTCTTTTTTCTTATTTACTTGGTTTGGGGAGGGGGCAGCTGCCCCCCCCGGCTATGCCCAGTGCTGTTTTTTCTAGAAAAAGAGGTGCCAGAACTCACCAGGAACTTCATTCTCTTAGAAAGGCAATGGCACCCACCTGAGAGGTGCTGGAACTGAGTTCTGGTGGGTTCTGGCTGAAAAAAAGACCTGCGTGTGCCCATGCCCTGGTGGAAAGCTATCTGGGGAAACCACATTTCAGTATTAGGCAGGGCCAGATCCACATGCCATCACACTCTATTTCTCATGCCAAGCTGTTTCTCATGCCAACAGAAGCATATATTTTATCCTTAGTAACTCCACTCAAGTTTCACCTTCCATTTTCTCCACAGACAGCGATATAAATGATTGATAATATTTCTGCTTGCGCTATCAGAATCGTATATATCACACAAGCACAAAATCCACGATTCTGAACAATACGGTTAAAAGAAACCAGTAGGATAGCAGGCGTGTGACAAGTTCCCCTGTAAATATATCAGGGCCTTGATGCTATAAAACAGGGGTGTGGGGGGAGGGAGCCCACTCAACATAACCTTGTCATGATATCTTCACAGTTTTATTTAACTGTTCTCAGGTCACAAACTAATTTGCCAGAAAGAGGTTAACCACAGTGCACAGAGACATCATTTCGGAGACAGGTTTTCCAGGCTCGCAAATCCACACTCCGAGCTGTGTCAGATCTAAGCCTCTCGAACCCAGCATTATTATTATTTTTTAAAAAGCCCTTGTGGTTTAAATAAATTGGTGATTCCATCTGATGTCTTGGGATGTTTGGGCTTTCAGATTCAGCATTGTCAAATTCTCTGTTTGGTGCCAAGAACACAGGTTAAATAAAGGTCAGGGCTGATATATAAGCTCACTAGGCTGCATTTAGATTAGCATCTTTCAGGAAACCTATAATGGCTAGGCTGCTACCAGCTCATTTTGGCTAATGGTAATGCACTGCACACATGTATCTCTGCTTGCAAGCACACACACACTTTCACACAAAGGAGCTGTTTTAAAGAATACATTTTCCAGTCATTCATAACATTTCTTAAAAGTGTCAAATTTACATTGTTGCTTCTCCCTCCCTCCCTCTGTCTCTCTGTCTTCATTCATTCCGATTGCAACCCTATATCCACTTACATGGGAGTAAGGCCCATTGAAATCAGTGGAACTTACTTCTGAGTATACATCTATATGAAGAACATAAGAGCCTTGCTGAATCAGGCCAAAGGCCTATCTTGTCCCTTATCTCGATAGATAGATAGATAGATAGATAGATGATAGATAGATGATAGATGATGATAGATGATAGATAGATAGATGATAGATAGATAGATAGATAGATAGATAGATAGATAGATAGACAGACAGACAGATGATAGATAGATTAAATTTTCAGAAACTTTAACAAATTACCTTCAACTTCAATACTTATTTCCCTTAATGATCTGACTTCCCACGCTTACTTCCATGATGTTTTTGTTCCCACCCTTTTTCTACTGCATTACATAGCATACTTTTATCTAATACATGCTTCTTCCGTAGCATTTATAATTATTTCCATTCCAGGGCTCGTATTTCAAATCCTGACCCACTTTTTTCTCTTCATATGTGACAATTGAACATGATGTTGCATTTTCAGTAGTCTCCTGGTGTTTTGCCCCTCCTCTGCATGTGTTTCATTTTTCTTTCATATTAAATTTTATTTGCCGTACCCATTTTTATTGTATCCTGTATGTATTTATGCTTGGCATAGTTCATAGCTTCTCTGAGTTATTCAAGCCCCTTCGCCACGGCAAGGCAGTGATCCATGAAGGGGATCGCTCCATGATCACTGCAGATGGTGACAGCAGCCACAAAATTAAAAGACTCCTGCTTCTTGGGAGAAAAGCAATGACAAACCTAGACATCATCTTAAAAAGCAGAGACATCACCTTGCCAACAAAGGTCCATATAGTTAAAGCTATGGTTTTCCCAGTAGTGATATATGGAAGTGAGAGCTGGAGCATAAAGAAGGCTGATCGCCAAAGAATTGATGCTTTTGAATTATGGTGCTGGAAGAGACTCTTGAGAGTCCCATGGACTGCAAGAAGATCAAACCTCTCCATTCTTAAGAAAATCAGCCCTGAGTGCTCACTGGAAGGACAGATCCTGAAGCTGAGGCTCCAAGACTTTGGCCACCTCATGAGAAGAGAAGACTCCCTGGAAAAGACCCTGATGTTGGGAATGATGGAGGGCACAAGGAGAAGGGGAAGACAGAGGACGAGATGGTGACAGTGTTCTCGAAGCTACCAGCATGAGTCTGACCAAACTGTGGGAGTCAGTGGAAGACAGGAGTGCCTGGCGTGCTCTGGTCCATGGGGTCACGAAGAGTGGGACACGACTAAACGACTAAACAACAACAATGTATTTATGCCAATAAACTTATATATATGTGTGTGCGCACATTACCCTAGCATATGCACTGCAGAATTCAGAGAGGTAAGAACTTTCAGAATGGCTGTGTTCTGGTTTGCTTATACTTTCGGAAAGTTCTTCCCTTAAATGAATCAGATTTCTCTCTATGTGGTCTTATGAAATATCTGTCCGTGGTGCGTGATCTGTGACTGCCTATTCACATATGCGTGTGGTTGCAGTGCTCACAAGGGAGGTAACTTGCAGTAGTCTTGAAGTCTCCACAGATGTCCCAAATGTCTGACAGTGCTTTTCGCAGTTCCTCCACAGTTCCTCCGAGGTAAGGCACGCAGATCTAGCTCCAAGCAGAAGGCTGCTGTTTGCGATAAACATCTGCTCCCTGTTCTTCCAGGAACCTCCAGACTCCTAAAAAAGAAGGAAAGGAAAAGATTCGCAGGGGAGGGGGGAGGCGTCTTGTAAGAGCAAATATTTTCATGCTTTGTGTCCTGCCCAAAAGCAGCAGATCATATATTGCCATTATTCTGTTAAGCCCACTGCCTTTAAAAGTCAAGAAACTGATACAAGCCCGCGCGGTTGTCAAATCACACTCGGCTTCCTCCGCAGTTTCGCCTGTCCTCTGGGGTTACGGTGGAAAATTTGTTTGCACATGAATCTGAGTCGAACTTAGCGAGGCGATGTCAATCTCAAATTTGCCTTCCGGGAATCGCGCAGTTTGCAAGGTTGCTACTTTCTCTGTGACATTGCTTTTTTTATACAGGGTAGAAGTAGAATATTAAGACGATTGCTTCCAGATGCAATGGTTGGAGGAGACAAGAAGAAATTGGCACTGGAAAGGTGGACAAACTGGTGGGAGAGGACTATGACATATTGAAGCAATCTAAGCGGAAGATGCAACATTAGCCAAGGCTGTCAGATGTATGTGTGTTTCTGCGTGTGCATATCTGCAAATACTAGAAAGGCTGCAAGAGATGGTTGCTTGTCTTACTTAAGTTATCTGGGTTGCAATCCTACAGCACTTACCAGGAACCAAGCACCATTTGATGCACAGGGCATTGTATTACACTGTTCAACAGAAAGGTAAAGGTAAAGGACCCCTGACAGTTAAGTCCAGTCGCAGATGACTCTGGGGTTGTGGCACTCATCTCGCTTTACAGGCCAAAGGAGCTGGTGTTTGTCCACATACAGTTTTTCCAGGTCATGTGGCCAGCATGACTAAGCCGCTTCTGGCGCAATGGAACACCGAAACCGGAGCAGCGCACAGCAACGCCGTGTACCTTCCTGCCAGAGCGCTACTGTAGTCTAAAACACAGAGCCTAGGGCTTCCCAATCAGAAGGTCGTTGGTTCAAATCCCCGCGATGGGGTGAGCTCCCATTGCTCGGTCCCTGCTCCTGCCAACCTAGCAGTTCAAAAACACATCAAAGTGCAAGTGGATAAATAGGTGGGAAGGTAAATGGCGTTTCCGTGTGCTGCTCTGGTTCACCAGAAGCAGCTTAGTCATGCTGGCCACATGACCTGGAAGCTGTACGCCGGCTCCCTCAGCCAATAAAGCGAGATGAGTGTCACCACCCCAGAGTCGTCTGTGACTGGACTTAACAGTCAGGGGTCCCTACCTATTTATCTACTGGCACTTTTGGCGTGCTTTCAAACTGCTAGGTTGGCAGGAGCTGGGACAGAGCAATGTTGAATGAAATCCTTCTGGAAGTCCATTCGACTTCAAAAATATTTGGAATCCAAGGTGTGACTTGGACTTGGTACAGATCCATGAACTGGGGGCCAGCATATTACACCGGTCCTGGTCCGACTGCACTAGCTAGTAATTAGTTTTCGGGTCCAATTCAAAGTGCTGGTTTTAACCTATAAAGTGTTAAACAGCTAAGGACTGCAATACCTCAAGGACTGTCTCTTTCTGCATGAACCTACCTAGAACCTGAGATCATATTCTGAGGCCCTTCTTCATGTGCCTCCTCCTCGAGAGGTCCGGAGGGTGGCAGCACGAGAACAGGCCTTCTCTGCAGTGGCTCCCTATCTGTGGAATGCTCTTCCCAGGGAAGTTTGCCTGGCACCATCATTATACACCTTTAGGTGCCAGGCAAAAATGTTCCTTTTTAACCAGACCTTTGGTTGATCTGATTTACATCTAATGCCCCTTTAAAATGTGTTTTTTTGGGAGGGCTGTTGGGTTGTTGTTTTTATTTATATTAGATATTTTGTGGTTTTATATCTTGATTTTATTCTGTGAACTACCCTGAAACCCCCCAGGTATAGGGCGGTATATAAATTTAATAAATAATAATAATAATATTGCAAATGGCTTCAAATTTTGAGCCTGAAGGTTCGCTACTTTGAACTAAAAGCAAAACGAAAACTCTTTTTTAAAGGCCACAAAAGATCGGTTGGTCGGTCAGTCGGTTGGTCGGTCGGTTGATCGGTCGATTAGTCGGTGGGTCAATAGGTTGGTTGGTCAATTAGTCGGTTGGTCAATCGGTTGGTTGGTCGGTTGATCAGTCATTTAGTCGATTGGTCGATCAGTTGGTCGGTCGGTTGGTTGATCAGTTGTTCGGTCAGTCGGTCGGTTGGTTGGTCGGTTGGTTGGTTGGTTGGTCGATTAGTCAGTCGGTCGGTTGATCGGTTGTTCGGTCAATCGGTCAGTCAGTTGGTCAGTCGGTCGGTCAGTTGGTTGGTTGGTTGGTTGATCGGTTGTTTGGTCAGTTGGTCGGTTGGTCAATCAGTCGGTCGGTCGGTCGGTTGGTCGGTTGGCCGGTCGATCGGTTGGTTGGTTGGTTGGTTGGTCGGTTAGTCAGTTGGTTGGTTGGTCGGTCAGTTGATTGGTTGGTTAGTTGGTCGGTCGGTTGATATGTTGTTTCGTTGTGGACTTTCTGAGTCTGGCAATGGGCCATCAGATGTTTGGAGCTGTGGGGGCTCCCAATTTTGGAGGGAATTTGAAACATGTCTTAAAATACCACATGGAGTCTAGTCTGGACTATGGGAAAGGGGTTGATTTGTTGAAAAGGGTCAAAAACACTACCAAGCTGGAGTTCCCACGAGTGAAAGGAAAATATGAAGACGAGCTGCGGAAGGGACATGGAAGAGACTTGAAGGCCTTGGATATAAGATCACCAGGTTAATGTGCCAGTCTAATGGGATAAAAAGGACTGACAAACCCGGGACCAGGAGGAAGGGACGCTGGAAGAAGATTGGATTGTTCTTATTTCTTTTTTCTATCATTAGGAATGTTTTATAAAATTGATGAATGTTAGGAAAATGTTGAAATGAAATTACTTGGCTCTTGTAAAAATGTTTAAAGAATTAGGTAAAAAGGTAATGGTTATGAGAAGTTGGTAAAAATAAGATTTAAGTCTTAAGCTTTAAGGTTTTTTATAAGATAAGATGAAAGTAGAGTAAGGTAATGTAATGACAGAATACTATGAATTATGTAAAGGATTTGCTGTGACAACTATTAATCAAGATACAAGAAAAGGGAGGAGGAGGAGGTCATAGAAAGAAGGTAATGAAAGTGGAGAATTTGAAAATGATGGTTTTCTTTTTTCTTTTTCTTTTTCTGTTTTGTCTTTTTTCTTTGTAATTTTTTTAAAATTTCTTTTTTCAATAAATATCATAAAAAAAGATATGTTGTTTAGTTGGTTGGTTGGTCAATCGGCCAGTCAGTCAGTCGGTTGAACGGTCAGTTGATCGGTCGATTAGTCGTTGGTCGATCGGTTGTTTGGTTGATCAGTCGGTCGGTTGGTCTGTCGGTCGGTCTATCGGTCGATCAGTCGATCGTTTGGTCAGTCGGTTGGTCGGTCAGTCGGTCGGTCAGTCGGTCGGTCAGTTGGTCAGTCGGTTGGTTGGATCATTCAGTTGGTTGATAGGTTGGTTGGTTGGTTGGTCAGTCAATCAGTCGGTCGATCGGTCGATTAGTCGGTCGGTTGATCGGTCAATTAGTTGGTTGATTAGTCGGTCGGTTGGTCGGTTGGTTGGTCGATCGGTTGATTAGTCGGTCGATTAGTCGGTCGTTCGGTCGGCTGATTGGTTGTTCAGTCGGTCGGTTGATCGGTCGATCAGTCGGTTGGTTGGTTGGTCAGTCGGTTAGTCGGTTGGTCAGTTGGTCGGTTGGTCACTTGGTCGTTTGATTGGTTGATTAGTCAGTCAGTCGGTCAGTCGATCAGTCGATTAGTCGATCGGTTTGTCAGTTGGTTCATCGGTTGTTCAGTTGGTTGGTTGGTTGGTTGGTTGGTCAGTTGGTTGGTCGGTTGGTCGGTCGGTCGGTTGATTGGTTGTTTGGTTGGTCAATCGGCCAGTCAGTCGGTCGGTTGAACGGTCGGTTGATCGGTCGATTAGTCGGTTGGTCGATCAGTCGGTCGGTCGGTCGGTCGGTCGATCGGTCGATCGGTTGGTCATTCAGTTGGTTGGTAGGTTGATTGGTTGGTTGGTTGGTCGGTCAATCAGCCGGTCAGTAGGTTGGTCGGTTGGTCGGTCGGTCAGTTGGTTAGTCGGTTGGTCGGTTGGTTGGTCAGTCGGTTGGTAGGTTGGTCGGTTGGTTGGTCGGTTGGTTGGTTGGTTGATCGGTCGATCGGTCGGTCGATCGGTCGATCAGTCGATCAGTCAATCGGTTGGTCAGTCGGTTGGTCGGTCAGTCGGTTGGTCGGTCAGTCGGTCGGTCGGTCGGTTGGTTGGTCATTCAGTTGGTTGGTAGGTTGGTTGGTTGGTCGGTCGGTCAGTCAGTCGGTCGGTAGATTGGTCGGTCGATCGGTTGATTAGTCGGTCGATTAGTTGGTTGGTCGATCGCTTGGTCGGTCGATTAGTCGGTCGGTCAATCGCTTGGTCGGTCGTTTGATCGGTCAATTAGTTGGTCGATTAGTTGGTCAGTCGGTTGGTTGGTTGGTCGATCGGTTGATTAGTCGGTTGTTCGGTCGGCCGATTGGTTGTTCGGTTGGTCGGTTGGTCGGTCGGTTGATCAGTCGATTGGTTGGTTGGTCGGTCGGTCTGTCGGTTGGTTGGTCGGTCAGTCGGTCGGTCAGTCGGTTGGTTGGTCAGTCAGTTAGTCGGTTGGTTGGTCGGTTGGTTGATTAGTCGGTCGGTCAGTCGATCAGTCGATTAGTCGATTGGTTTGTCGGTTGGTTGATCGGTTGTTCAGTTGTTTGGTTGGTCGGTCAGTCGGTTGTTAGGTCGGTTGGTTGGTTGTTCGGTCGGTCAGTTGATCGGTTGTTTGGTTCGTCTGTTGGTCAATCGGCCAGTCAGTCGGTCGGTTGAACGGTCGGTTGATCGGTCGATTAGTCGGTTGGTTGGTCGGTTGGTCGATCGGTTGGTCATTCAGTTGGTTTGTAGGTTGGTTGGTTGGTTGGTTGGTCGGTCAATTAGCCGGTCGGTAGGTTGGTCGGTCGATCGGTTGGTAGGTTGGTTGGTCGGTCAATTAGCCGGTCGGTAGGTTGGTCGGTCGGTTGGTCGATTGATCGGGCGATCGGTTGGTTGGTCGGTCGGTCAGTCGGTTGGTCAGTCGGTCGGTCAGTCAGTCGGTTGGTTGGTCATTCAGTTGGTTGGTTGGTTGGTTAGTCGATAGGTCGGTCGGTCAGTCAGTCGATTAGTCAGTCGGTCGATCGGTTGGTCGGTCAATTAGTCGGTCAGTCAATCAGTTGGTTGGTTGGTTGATCAGTCAATTAGTCGGTCGATTAGTCGGTTGGTTGGTTGGCTGGTCAATTAGTCGGTCGGTCGGTCGATCGGTTGGTTGGTCGGTCGATCGATCAGTTGATTAGTCGGTCAGTGGGTCAATCGGTTGTTCGGTCGGTAGGTTGGTCATTCAGTTGGTCGGTCGGTTGTTCGGTTGCTTGGTCGGTCAATTAGTTGGTCGATCGGTCGGTTGGTTGATCGGTCGATCAGTTGGTTGGTCGATCGATTGTTCAGTCGATTGGTAGGTTGGATGGTCAGTTGGTCGATTAGTCTGTCGGCCGATCAGTTGGTCAGTCGGTCGGTTGGTCATTCAGTTGGTTGGCTGGTCAGTCAATCCGTCAGTCAGCTGGTCGATCGGTTGGTTAGTCAGTCGATTAGTCGATCGGTTGATCGGTTTGTCGGTCGGTTGATCGGTTGTTCATTCAGTTGGTTGGTCGGTCGGTTGGTTGGTTGGTAGGTTTGTTGGTCCGTTGGTCGGTTGCTTGGTTGGTCGATTGGTCGGTTCGTCGGTTGCTTGGTTGGTTTGTTGGTCGGTTGATCGGTTGTTCGCTCGATCGGTTAGTTGGTTGGTCGGTCGGTTGGTTGATCGGTCAATTAGTCGGTTGGTTGGTCGATCAGTTGTTCGGTTGGTCGGTTGGTTGGCTGGTCAGTCAGTCGATCGGTCGGACGGTCAGTCAGTTGGTTGGTTGGTTGGTCGGTCAGTCAGTTGGTTGGTTGGTCGGTTGGTCAGTCAGTTAGTTTATCAGTCGGTCGGTCAGTTGGTCGGTCGGTCAATCGGTCGAATGGTCGGTCGGTCGATTAGTCGGTTGGTCGGTTGATCGGTTGATTAGTCGGTCAGTCGATTGTTGGTCAGTCGGTTGGTCAGTCGGTCGGTTGGTAGGTTGGTCAGTCGATTAGTCGATCGGTCAGTCAATCGGTTGGTTGGTTGATCGGTTGGTCGGTCGGTTGATCGGTCGATTAGTCGGTTGGTCGGTTTGATTGGTCGATTAGTCGGTTGGTCGGTCGATCGATCGGTTGTTGGGTTGGTTGGTTGGTTGGTTGGTCGGTCAATCGGTCGATTGGTTGGTGGGTTGGTCGGTTGGTCGGTCAGTTGATCGGTTGATTAGTCGGTCGGTCGGTTGTTTGGTCGATTGGTCGGTCGGTCGGTCAGTTGGTTGGTTGATCGGTTGGTCGGTTGGTCAGTCGGTTGATTGGTCGATTCGTCAGTTGGTTGGTTGGGTGGTTGGTTGGTCGGTCAGTCAGTCGGCCGGCCGGTCAGTTGGTAGGTTGTTCGGTCGGTTGATCGGTTGTTCGGTCGGTTAGTTGGTTGATTGGTTGGGCGGTTGGTTAGTTGGTCGGTTGGTCAGTTAGTCGGTTGGTTGGTTGGTTGGTTGGTTGGTTTGTTGGTTGGTTGGTTGCTTGGTTGTGTGCTGGTCCTGGGGGGAGTTACCATGAGGCGTGGTCAGAGTCCGGTCCCGGGCCGAGGGTCTGGAGACAGTCCACCAAGGGCAGAGCGGGGTCCAAAGCAAGAAGCCGGGCGTGGTCGGGAATTCCGGAAAAACAGGTCTGGGTGTTGGCAGAAACAGGTTTCCAACGTCGTTGCTCCTGCAACCTGGGACTGGGCTGACTGGCCTTTATCTCCTCTGGGGCCTAGGGCGGTCCCGGCCCACAGGTGACTCGCCTCTCCTGGCCTTAAGGCGAGCACTCTTCCTGAGAGAACCTAGTTCCCTCCGCCTCTCTGCCCTGAGCCTCTGCAGCTCAGGAGAGGCTGGAGGGTTATTGGACCCAGAGGCAGCCTTGCCTTCTCCTGACAGAGCTGGGAGAGGAGCACCTGCAGGCAGTGGGTCCTCAATCACCTCGGGAGCCAGAGTGGATTCATCTGGTGTCTGCTCCTGAGGGTCCGGCACAGGTGCAGGCCCTTCAGATTCAAGGCCCTGACCCGGCTGAGCCGGCCCTGGAGGCGCGGACTCCTGTGCAGGCTGGGATTCCTTCGGTTCAGCCTCTGAATCAGATTCCCAGGCCATCAAAGGTTGGTTGCTTGGTTGCTTGGTCGGTTGATTGCTTGCTTGGTTGGCTGGTCGGTTGATCGGTTGTTCGGTCGGTCAGTTGGTTGGTTGGTCGATCAATCAGTCGGTCAGGTGGTAGGTTGGTTGGTTGGTTGGTTGGTTGATTGTTCGGTCGATCGGTTGGTCGGTTGGTCGGTTAGTCGGTTGGTTGGTCGGTCGGTCGGTCAGTCAGTTGGTAGGTTGGTTGGTTGGTTGGTTGGTTGGTCGGTTAGTTGATCGGTTGGTTGGTTGGTCGATCGGCCAGTCAGTCGGTCGGTTGTTCGGTCGATCGGTTGGTCGGTTTGTCGATCGGCCGGTCAGTCAGTTGGTTGGTCATTCAGTTGGTTGGTTGGTTGGTTGATTGGTTGGTCGGTTGGTCGGTTGGTCGGTTGGTTGCTTGGTTGGTCGGTTGGTGGGTCGATCGGTCGGTCGGCCGGTTGGTCGGTTTGTTGATCGGCCGGTCAGTCAGTTGGTTGGTCATTCAGTTGGTTGGTTGGTTGTTCGATTGGTAGGTTGGTTGGTCAGTTGCTTGGTTGCTTGGTTGGTCGCTCGGTCGGTCGGTTGGTCGGTTGGTCAGTCAGTTGGTCGGTCAGTCAGTCGGTTGGTTGGTTGGTCGGTCAATCGGTCGGTCGGTCGGTTGGTCAGTCAGTCAGTCAGTCATTGTAAACAATACTGAGCTAGATGGACAAATGGTTTTGACTTGGTATATGGCAGCTTCCTATGTTGCTTGTGTTGCCCTTGGCATGGAGACTGGGTTTCTTGAAGGATGGTACAGATGGTACAGACAGCCAATCAAAAACTGTGGAATCCACATCGGACGTTTGAGTTCCAAAGAACGTTTGCAAACTAGAACACTCCTGGGTTTGTGTCATTCGGGAGCCAAAACATTCGACTCTCAAGGTGTTCAACTTCTGAGGTACGACTGTATATACTCTCCAGAACCAAGAAACGGATGGAGGGATGCAGGACATTATTTTCCCCTCAATTCTGCACTGCTTGTTTAAGCCTGGGAGGGCAGAGGACAATGAGGTTGCATCTCTTTTGCCTTGCATTGCAGTCGATTGGAGGAGATTTAATTGGATTAAGCTGAACTAGATCCTATAAAGTTTTTAGATTGCACCCAGGTCTGCCAAGGCAAAGAAGCACACAATGGCTGATCTCCCTTTTTGAAAACATAAAATTCAGCAGCCTCATCTGAAGGCAGGGATCAAATGCAAACTACAATCTCAGTTTCCTCCCAGTTTTACTTTACATTCAGCCTGACGGAAAGTTCTGGAGAACTCCAGAAGCTCACTTGCTATTATGTGACATTTTTGTTGGTTATAATAGAGGTTCTTTCTCAATTGTGAGTTTTGAAGATTGTGGAATTTCTCTTGACAGAGATGATTCTGGACACAGTTCTTAGCATCTATGGTGCAGGTTTTTTCCACCAGGGGGCACCTAAAGCCCACAGAAGTTGACTCTTCAACGTACTGCATGCCTTAGAGAGGGAGGGTTTATATATACACAAAATGTATATATTTTCCAGATGGTTGTGTCAGTGGAAACTGCTCAGGGCTCTCTTAGGTCGAATGCCACCATAACGTATGCAGCATGCAAACTACCAGCGTACTGGCTAGGTTAAAGAAATAAAATATAAATGGAAAAAGTTCCCACGCCCGAGCCTATATACTTAAGTTAATGTCTTGTGTTTTATTATAGATGTGTTGCTTTGTTCAACAGCATTCCATACTGCACTGACTGAATCACTTTGTAGAAAACAAGATTTGGGTGGAGTGGGGAGGAAGAAACAACCCAAATTCTTGCTTACGTTCACATTTTTACCAAATGTAGGCTACATTTAGAATCATAGCATTGGGAGGGACCCCGAGGTCTAACACCCTGCAATGCAGAAATCTCAACACACGGTACCCCATCCAATTCGAAACCATACCGGACCCTGCTTAGCTTTTGCAAATGTGCTGGCGGTTTTATTGGTGTGCCACTGGGAGGGTTGCCCATGCACACCTAATTTGAAGCAAACCCCAGCCAACAGAGTGGGCTTTTCTTCCAGATAAGTTTACATAGGAGCAGGCTGCATGGGTCTTTACAGGATTTCAAGGGACTGCAGCTTAGAATATACCACTGCATTTCTTTAAGGGAGCAAAACATAGTCCGTGCTCTTTAAACGGCCAGTCCTTAGACTTTGCGCTGATTTTATATTGACTGCTTTTTGCATTTTTAGTGTTGCTACGATAACTGCTTTTGTTTCTGATGTTTTTGATCTCTTTTAGATTTGCTTTGTGGTTCTCTTTTGTAGGCTACCTTGGAAATCTAGATTAATTAAATGATGGTTTTTGGTTTTTTGGTTTTTAAAGTCTTTTCACTTCGCACTGACAAGGCTGACTTTTGCAAGACAAGAATCTAAGGTGGTAAAGGGACTTATTGAGCCATCCACCGGCCGCAGCCCATAGCATGTAAACACTTGAGAAAAAGTATATGCTGAGATGATCGCTTCATCATTACTGCATTGAACCTGAGCTGACCACCACTACAACTAAACATGTCATCACACATTGTAAAGAGGCCCAGGAACACTAATAATCCTTTAAATTCATTGGCCCTGATGCAACGCAGGTGCAGCAGCCCATTGCTGCAGCTGCAAAACACAAACCCAACAAACAGCTATAACTGTACATATATATCACCAGTAGGGATGCTCAGTGATTTTGTCTGGCCCACATTTTTAAGCCAGCCAGCCTGAGTCACGCTTCCTGGACTTGCAAATAGATCGGAACACAATTATCGTTCCGTTTTTACACTTCCCTGAATTTTGCAACACAGTTCTCTGCTCAAAAAAAGCATATGAACTGCTTTTGTTGTTTAGTCGTTTAGTCGTGTCCGACTCTTCGTGACCCCATGGACCAGAGCACGCCAGGCACTCCTGTCTTCCACTGCCTCCCGCAGTTTGGTCAAACTCATGCTGGTAGCTTTGAGAACACTGTCCAACCACCTCGTCCTCTGTTGTCCCTTCTCCTTGTGCCCTCCATCTTTCCCAACTTCGGGGTCTTTTCTAGGGAGTCTTCTCTTCTCATGAGGTGGCCAAAGTATTGGAGCCTCAGCTTCACGATCTGTCCTTCCAGTGAGCACTCAGGGCTGATTTCCTTCAGAATGGATAGGTTTGATCTTCTTGCAGTCCAAGATCTTCAGCTTTCCTATGTTCCCAGGACACATGTTTATAATCATTTTAAAAGTTATGAGCAACTCCAAAAGGCTCTATTATCTCCGAAATCAAACTCACCCAGGAGGGCTGGCTTCCAAGAGAATTTAGTCCGGATTAGAAAATGGAATTTGCTAAAGCTTCAGTGCTTTATCTGCCATCGTTTTCTGAGCACTCTCCGAAATCCTTGCCCGTTGTTCTTTCGTGTGCTTCGCTTGATTAGAAGGCGAAGATCGTGGGAGCGTGGTCAATAAACAACAGCAAGAGACGGGAGAAAAAGTTGTTTTGATGCCAAACTCCGAGAAGTTAATGGGGGAATAAAGGTTGTTCTCACATCCTAGGATGTCAGATAGCAGAGGGCTTCTCACCTCTGTTTTGGAGCTGTAGCGGCAGGAACATCAGTAGCATTTAGGAATAGAAATGTTAGTGACCTCCTTACGGGGTCCTCGCTGCGAGATCACATTCACCCGGTGCTCTACCAGCTGCACTGGCTCCCGGTGGAGTACAGGATCAGGTTTAAGGTGCTGGTTTTAACCTTCAAAGCCCTATACGGCCTAGGACCCTCGTACCCACGGGACCGCCTCTCCTGGTATGTCCCACGGAGGAACTTACAATCTTCAAACAAAAACATCTTGGAGGTCCCAGGCCACAGAGAGGTTAGGCTGGCCTCAACTAGAGCCAGGGCTTTTTCAGCTGTGGCTCCGATCTGGTGCAACGCTCTGCCACAAGAGACTAGGACCCTGCGGGACTTGACATCTTTCCGCAGGGCCTGCAAGACAGAGCTGTTCCACCAGGCCTTTGGCCAGGGCACAGCCTGACTCCCTCCTTTGGCAATCTTCACAGAACTCTAGCCCAATAGTTGCCATCAATTTGATTTGAATTAATTTTATAATGAAATGATTTTAGAATGTTGTATTATTTTATTGTTGTTAGCCGCCCTGAGCCCAGCTTCGGCTGGGGAGGGCGGGAGATAAATAAAAATTTATTATTATTATTATTATAACTAAGCCCAGCCCAAGCTATTTTAGCATCTGAAGCGGGAAATCTAATTAGCCATTAGGTGAATGAACAAAAGTGGACATGAACTGGACAAGTTGGGAAAGGGCATCAATTTATTCAGGATGGTGAAAGCCCAAATGGATCACTAAGAGCTCCAAAAGGTACCACCAAACTGGGGGAATGGTCGAAAAAATGGCAAATGTCTTTCAGTGCTAATGAAGTATAAAGTGATGTACAGTTGTGTGTGGGGGAACCCTCCCTTTGCATATAAGTGATGAGGTTTGACTGGTGGCGATTAACTAGGAAAATGATTGTGCCTAGGAAATCTGATTGTGCCTTCTCAAAAATAATAATGTACTGCTGGACAGGTACAGATAATGGCAGTTGGGGTGATAAGGGGCTGTAGCATCTTTCTTAGGACAAATGACTACAGGCATCTATATGTGGGCGACTCCCTGGTCCTGAATACGGTAACTGTGCCCCTGAAGGGCCAGGTGTGCCTCACTGCTGTCCATGGAGGCGCAGGTCAATTCTGTGCCCAGGGCAGCTGTCTACCAGCTCCATCTGGCATGCAGGCTGAGACCCTACCTGCCTGCGGACTGTCTTGCCAGAGTGGTGCATGCTCTAGTTATCTCCCACTTGGACTACTGCAATGCGCTCTACGTGGGGCTACCTTTGAAGGTGACCCAGAAACTGCAATTAATCCAGAATGCGGCAGCTAGACTGGTGACTGGGAGCGGCTGCCGAGACCATATAACACCGGTCCTGAAAGACCTACATTGGCTCCCGGTACGTTTCCAAGCAGTATTCAAAGTGTTGGTGCTGACCTTTAAAGCCCTAAATGGCCTCGGCCCAGTATACCTGAAGGAGCGTCTCCACCTCCATCATTCTGCCTGGACACTGAGGTCCAGCACCGAGGGCCTTCTAGCAGTTCCCTCACTGCGGGAAGTGAAGTTACACGGAACCAGGAAGAGGGCTTTCTCAGCAGTGGAATGCCCTCCCTTCGGATGTCAAGAAGATAAAAAACTGCACAACTTTTAGAAAACATCTGAAGGTAACATCTGTCTGACATTTTATTATTTTTTTATATTTTGCTAGAAGCTAATAATAATAATAATAATAGATTTTTTGAAAATTACATTATACTGTGCACCCTCCCAATCTTTCCCAGGAGGAAGGATGAGAAATATTATAAATAAAATAAAGAATTGCATTTTATTTGTTTAGAGACAGGAAAACAAAGCATGTAAATTTATGGACAGTGGGAAGGAAGGAGTTACAGAGGATTAAAAAAACAAAAACAAAACCCCGCACAGCTCTTTCATTCCAGAACTCAGGGTCACCACTGATATTCACTGGACTTCTTCCCATAATGAATAGTTAATTTATGTAATTTGCAGCCACCACAAGATAGCTACATAACTCTGATGGTTTTAAAAGAGGATCGGTCGTATTCATAGAGGAAGAGAGATCTTTCAGTGGCTGTTGGCACTCATAGCTAAATAGATTCACCAGGTTTAGAGGCACTGTACCAATTGCAGGTGAGCATTAGTGAGACGGAGCGGTTCATTTTCAAGCCGGTGGGCTTCCAGGAGGCATCAAATTCGCCATAGTGCAAAGTAGGATGCTGACCTACATGGACTGATGGTTTGATCCTCTTCTTGTGTTCTTATAAAGTGGTGGTTTTAAGGAGGGGGTATGGGTGGAATGAGGGACCAAATAGAGACCAACAGCAATATCACTATGTGACCTTTATTGTTGGGACGGTGACAGTAGGTGCAATGGGGATGTCTCTTGGCCTATGAAAAGCCAAGATTGCAGCTCGTCTATAGACCTGAGCCTTCTTTGCTCATCTGCTGCTGCTGCTGTTTGTTTTGGAAGGAAGATTAACAACATGGAAGTATAGCAATGGAAAGCCCTGGGCTGAGCACTGTGCTTACAAAGCACCTGTTTAATCCCACCCCCATTGCTATTTTTCTAGGAAAAGAGGTGCCAGAGCTCACCATGAACACCTCCCTTGTTCCCTTATGATGGCAATGGCACTCGCCTAAGGAGTGCCAGAACTGAGTTCCAGTGAGTTTCAGCTGGGGGGGAAAAGTGCCCTGGTTTCCCCACTCACTCCTGTTGGGTTCCTCACCAATTTTGCGAGTACAGCTTTATGAGTACAATCTACCCCAAATCCCAGTGATTCCAATGAGAATAGTTGAGCAGGTGCTTAAAAGGGGACTTGAAATTAATGGGACTTCAAATTGCTTCGCTTTGACTGGATTCGTGGGATTTGGAAAAACTGAGAAAGCAAGCAAATTATTTCATATTAAGAACGCAAACTTTCCGTACGATTTAAATATATACGTCACAGTTTTAACACCTGCCCTGTAAAATGTAAGTGCTAGAAGAGGTATTTCAGGCCCAAGATATCGTTTGAATATTTTATTCAGACGTCATGTGGATTTTCCAAATTATCCTTCCTTAGACTTTCACATACACGTTGTAGGTATTATATAGGACAAACCAAGCCTAGCCTGCCTCAGATAATGTGTCTGATACTATTCCATAGGCACCTTCTTCCTCTATGCTTGTATTCATCACAGTCTTCTGTTGCTGTTTAGTATCCAGTGATCTTCATTGCATTCCTTCATGTCAAAATGTTGGTCTACAAGTTTATCCAATATGACAGTGATTAATATGGGGCAAAATGTCTCCCCGTACTTTGCAGTGATTTTGGCACAGATTTTGTCTTCAAACGTTCCCCCTATCTTCTAAGGAAACAGGAATTAGCCTCTACAGCTGTTTGGCATGTGATATTTTGATCTATTATTAAGTGATTTGCTTTGGGCCGCCAATCAGCTTGCTTTGATTTCTAAACATTGTCTACACTTTTCCTCCCTGCAATATATTTAAACTTTCCTCTTCAAACAGAACGGGACGCAGAGATATTGCCATCCAATTTTAATAAAATGAACTTTTAATGTATTATTTCAGTGCCTGATAAATTATAACATATTACTTGTAGGTTCTTCTAAGCTCACCTATTATAAGGTGTTTCATTTGTGCTCCAATTAGGGTAGAAGACCAGGCTTATACTCTGGATCCAAATTGCTCACAGGATACTGTGAATTATAAACAGTAGTAATTCTTAGTAATATATACACATGAGTTTCCAAACTCTTATAGGTGTTTAACTAGCAGAGATTTGAATTTTAGTGTAAGAAGTAGAATATACCTCTGGAATAAGGGTAGACGTGGCAATCTCTGCTAACCTACTCCTAGACCACTGTACAAAGAAGGTCCCTTGTAGTTCAGTCCCTTGCGATCAGAAGGTCAGCGGTTCAAATCCCCGCGACGGGGTGAGCTCCCGTTGCTCTGTCCCAGCTCCTGCCAACCTAGTAGTTCGAAAGCACACCAGTGCAAGTAGATAAATAGGTAGGAAGGTAAACAGCGTTTCCGTGTGCTCTGGTTTCTGGCACAGTGTCCCATTGTGCCAGAAGCAATTTAGTCCTGCTGGCCTCATGACCCAGAAAGCTGTCTGTGGACAAACTTCAGTTCCCTCGGCCTGAAAGCGAGATGAGTGCTGCACCCCATAGTTGCCTTTGACTGGACTTAACCATCCAGGGGTCCTTTACCTTACCTTTTTTGCCCATACCTCAAAGGCAAAGATGCCCTTGCATGTTTATGGTCATCTCCAGTCCCTCAACAGGGACGCGGGTGACACTGTGGGTTAAACCACAGAGCCTAGGACTTGCCGATCAGAAGGTCGGCAGTTTGAATCCCCGCGACGGGGTGAGCTCCCATTGCTCGGTCCCTGCTCCTGCCAACCTAGCAGTTCGAAAGCATGTCAAAGTGCAAGTAGATAAATAGGTACCGCTCCAGTGGGAAGGTAAACAGCATTTCCTTGCGCTGCTCTAGTTCACCAGAAGCAGCTTCGTCATGCTGGCCACATGACCCGGAAGCTGTACGCCAGCTCCCTCGGCCAATAAAGCGAGATGAGCGCCGCAACCCCAGAGTGGGCCAAGACTGGATCTAATGGTCAGGGGTCCCTTTACCTTTACCAAGTTCACAATAGCATACTTGCTGTGAGAAGAATGTGTTTTTTATGTCTTTATGCGAAAGATGGGGACTCTGTGGCCCTCTGAATGTCGCTAGACCCCCAACTCCCATCATCCCTGACCACCAACCATGGTGGAGGGAGCTCAATGGATCTGGAAGAACATCTGAAGGACCACAAGTGTTTCTTATGTTTTTCATTAGCCTCTTTAAAAAAGCAGAGATAATATCTCCTTTGCACAATGGCTCTTAAGGTGTAGATAAAAATATGCTTGTTCAGATAGGCTTGGCACTTAACTTTGGTTCTCTGCTGTTGTCCTCTTTGGGTTGCTCTATTGACAGCAATATCTGGATGCCTTCCTAGTTCAAAAACATAGGGCCTCTAATGGAAGACATGTGATGCTATTCCCTTTCCATTTCTGCTACTAAAACTCATTATATGATTGCATGCAGTATTAATATAATGAGTGCACAGCATGCTGCTTTATATAAAAACAATAGTAACCAAGTGGTGGGTTGGAATAAGACTTATGGGGCGATGGAGGCAAGGAGGGTCATTAGATTCTCAAGTGGAAAGCCGTGCTGTAGTCCCAAAGACATCTTTGCTTACCCTGTTAAATCCCGTAGTTTGCAGAAAGCAGCTACTTTGAGATGGGGAGTGGATATGCTGTAATTGTTCTTTAATTGCTTAAACTGTCATCTTTCAATATGGATGGCAATGCACAGCATCATCTGGTGCCACAAGTTGTGTTATTTGTGACTAGTATGTTGTGGGATGTGAAACACAAGAGCAGTCAAGTACAACGTTCCTAGAGTGAACATGTTTACGCATGGGGAGGAATGTTTGTGCAGCCAGCAGGTAAACTTCCTGTTTCCTTCTAGGCTGGGACAGACTTCCTCTGCATGTGACTAGCGGTGGGCGTGGCCTCACCTGTGCAGGTAATGACAAAAGCACAGGGCAGGGCAGCCATCTCTCTCTTTTTGACTACGTGCATCGAAGAAGCAACATCTGCTTAGCCAAAGATGCTCTCTTGGCTTCCAGCCAAGAGAGGACAAAAGGACTGTCTCTTTATGGGATAGTTTCCAGGTGTATGTTACTTTTCTAAACTAAGTGTGCTTTCTGGGATCCAATTGTGAACAGAATGTGAGTAAATTCTTTTTATACTTTTATAGAAGACTGTGTCGTGTCTTATCTTTTATGAGGGAATAAGGGGAAAATACCAGAACAGTTATTATAGAGGCTTTAGCGAGCCTGAGCAAATGCATCCGCTGCAAGTTTAAAATGGGGAATGTTACTCTGCTAAATTGTTAACTTGTTTACACAAGTTGGAAAGGCTATAATCAAACAATATATCCTCTCCTGCATCCCTGATCATTCCCATGTATGTTAAGAATAAGTGTTCAACTTCCTGAAATGGGAATCTTTGCTTATGTTGAATTGCTGTGTATTTTTAGCATCGGGTTTTTCCTTTGGCAGTAGCTCTCTCGTCTGATTGGCTGACTGTGAGTCACATGAGCGAGGCATTCCCTTCTGTTGTGACTGTTATTCAAGTAACTGTCATTTTTAACTGTTTTCTGTTCTTCTCTCTCTCTGTTTGTGAAAGAGAATTGCTGCTGAGAAGTTTCGCTGGCTGCTGCTGAGGACGGTGTGTGCCAGTGTGGTCTGTATGGGGTGAAGCAGACAGAGGAAGATCCCTAAATGTTAATAGGGAGAAACCTGTGCTCTCTATAATAAACAAAGTGAATAAGCATGAAATCGTAGATATGTTTTTCTCAGTTATACATTTATGAAAGTAAAGTTTTATTTTGAATATAGTCTGGACATTACATATCATAAAAAGTAGCATTTGGATATAGCTGGATCATGGCCAAGGTTTATAAAGGTTTTGAAAGATTTAATGAGGTCTACTGAGAAACTTTTAGTGGCTACCAATATTGCATTTGCAAAACACTGGAAGCTGCCAACATTCATATCAGTTTCAGAGTGGTTGGCTAAGGAAACACTATTAGTGGCACAGCAACAAAGAAGATGGATATATTAACTGCTATGTGGTGTGATCCTATGCATGTCTATGCAAAAAGCAAATCACAATTGAGCTCAGTTGGAGTAAGACTCCTAACTCCCATGTAAATATGCATAGAATGCTTAAATATGTCTATTTGAATGAGTTGATAATAGCCATAATTCCATGAAACTATTGGTTTCATTGTAAATGACTGGTATAGATATATTTATTTAAAAAGGTTTATGAAGGAACAAGTCTCTCTCTCTCCCCGCCCGCCCCCCGCCCCCAGTTCTACACTGATATTGGTTATTGATCAAGGATTGTGTGTTAAATAATGATAACATTTCTTCCTGCAATTCAGTTGGTAAAAGTTACTAAAAACTGTTGTTTTTTTTAGAAAGTCTGCTAATCAAACCAGATGAACTGTACGCTAACCAATCATTTAACTATTAACCAATAACGTTAATAGTTGGAAAATCTAAAAGGTGCTTTCTGTTTATCTGTTCCTTATGCAAATAAAAGGAGTTGAAATAATGTAAAACATGTCAAGCTACGTTATCAGTTGCACCAACTTACATAGCTAGAAAAGTATTCCAAGCATTCCAAGTCTTTAATTGGAATGTTTTTATAACTGGGCTTTTTTAAATCTCCTTGCACTCTCAAGCAGATGTTTGTGACTTCAGATCATTCCCTTTCAAAAGAAATCACTGGTCTTATTATAATATTTGTAATATGTTCCTTTTGATCCCAGTATTGTGATATAACTCAGACGTCTTCCATTGTCCGCATGCTGTTTCTCCAACACCGATGACAGATGATGTCATTCTGACCTTGATCCACAAGGCTGTATTGGGGGCACTGGTCTATGTTATGCGGTGCTTGAAACCAGCATGGCTGTTTAGGAGTGGCAGGATTTGAGTGCCAAATTAGTCTAGAAAGCAAATCAGGTTTTTTTTGGGGGGGGCAGCGGATAATTAGAGGGAAACTTCAGCAGTAGTCATTGAAGTAGCAGGAGAAATGAGAGCCTTGGAAACAAGGAGCTGGAGATGGAGGGCAAAAGAGGAACTGAAAGTGAGGACAGAACAGAAGGAGGTGAATAACCAAAGACTCCAAGATCAGACGACCATCTTGGATAAGAAGAACTGACATTCGTTTGAAGCCCTGCATGGGCCCGTGAGTTTTATGGGTTGAATTGGAAATGTGTTAGATGCATGTAGGCCCCACTGAAATCAGTATGCTGCTGCTGCTGCTTTTGCGCGTTGAGGTCCCCAAGACACCCCAAATAAAAACACAATGACACTTAATTTTTGTTTAAGGGTTTTGGCATAATTTTGGCCACAACTTTATTAAATTAACAGCAATGTGAGTGGTTGCTTAGGCACTGGTAGCACTAACTGACCCCGCACGGGGACAGCTCTGACATTCACACCCCCCGCGAAGTCAGAAAGGGTAAGTCACCTGGGGAGAGAGATGGGGCTGGGAGCCATGCCTCACCTCTCCCCAGAATGCTCCCAGAGGCTCTTGCGTGGCCCTAGCCCCTTGCCAGGGGGTTCGGACAAAAGCATGGGGAGCCCCTGGGTTCCTTTAACGGAAAACCCTTGCAGCAGCAGCAGCATTTTGGAGGGGTAGGGACAGCCAAATCCATACCCCTCCACCAACCAATTCCCAAACCAATGCCTAACCGCAACCTTACAAGTTGTGACGATTTACTACGCAGTAGGCAAAAACCAAATGGCACCAGCCAATCAGCCAAATGGACAAAATTCCTACCGGGCCCCTGCCCCCAAGGCAGGCGACCCCATGACAGGCATAGCAAGGTCAAGCAAACAGCCTAACCTTGGGGGGGGGGCGGGTGATCCGAAGCACGCAGTGAAGAGAAGAAGTTCGTCGCTGCTTGCAATGTATTTAGCAAATAGGGCTGTCAGTCAATAAATGGCAACATATAAATTTCCCCAGTAACAACCCGCCCCTGCTTAAAAGAAATGCCAAACCTTTTGCCTAGCAACAATGAGGTGTCTCGTCAGCCCCCACCGCAACACATGCTCTCCATGAGGGAGAACACGCTTTATTATTTATACCCTGCCCATCTGGCTGGGTTTCCCCAGCCACTCTGGGTGGCTTACAGCACATATAAAAGCATAATAAAACAACAAATACAAAAAACTTCCTGATACAGATGTTGCTTTCAGATGTCTTCTAAAAGTTGTGTAGTTTTTTTATCTACTTGACAGCTGAAGGGAGAGAGTTCCACAAGGAGGGCGCCACTACTGAGAAGGCCCTCTACCTGGTTCCCTATAACTTCGCTTCTCGCAGTGAGGGAACCAGCAGAAGACCCTCAGCGGATGGGCACAATGGGAGTGGAGATGCTCCTTCAGGTATGCTCAGGACACATCCCATTGATTTCAACAGGAATTAAGTACAGTAGTACCTCGGTTTTCGAACATCTTCGTTAATGAACATTTTGGTTTTTGAACGCCATAAACCCAGAAGTAAATGCTTCAGTTTTCGAACAAGCCTTGGAAGTCGAACATGCCACGCGGCTTCCGCTGAGTGTAAGAACCTGAGGCCTAGCTGTTGGCTATTGAGTTTTTGGTTTTCAGAAGTTTCAGAACTCGAACAGTCTTCCAGAACAGATTACATTCGAAAACCGAGGTACCACTGTATATCTAACTTAGTCTGTATCCAACCCTGTATTGATTTTATTATGTTTTTTCCCAAGTGGAATGCCACAACAAATCAACAGTTTTCCAAAATCCATCAATACATTCCTGGATAATACTGAAGCAGTATAGCTGCCTGTGTCCGCTATACTTTAATGCCTGAGGTTTGGTTTTCTATGTCAGCATGTTCGTTGTTAAGGTGACCGATGTAGCATCTACATAGCAGTCAAGTTCTGTCACATCAGTGTCACCAAGAGGCAGAAGCCAAGATGTGGCTTTGTGAAGAGAACTGCCGGCTTTATTCTCAATGGCTGGAGTCGGCAGACTTGGAGAATAGATTCGGGACTCAGCTATACAGCTGCAAATATAACGTTTAAAGTGTGTTTTAAGTGCATTATATAAATGTGACACTAAATGGCAATGGGAAGCTTGTGGCAAATTCGATATATTTTTTCAAAACACTAACAACACACACATTTTCACAAGGTTTTTTGTATGTGTCTAGATTCCACCTTAATCTTCCATTGCAGTTGTGACTGAGGGTGTAATTCTCTACTCTCTCAATTCCATCAGGCTTCATTAGAGAGAGGGAGAGAAGGAAGGAGAGAATCACTCCAATGGGTTCTTCCAAGAGACCCGATTCATCAGGCCCATCCTTTCTTCACAGTCACCTGGCAACAGCCATTCCATCAGGCTGCAGCTGAGAGATGGAAAGCAAGGCCGCTCAATATCTCTGCTGAAAGGCCAGCTGTCTACATTTGGCTCTTCTCGCTCCACTGTTTCCATTCCAGCCTTGTAACTTTTGAGAACACATGCAGTCAAAGGGATACAGGTCACGCATAACCCGAGTGAGAGGCCATAACGGCAGACATTTTGCTAGTGCAGAGATTGCCAATGTGGCGCACATGGCTGCACAGAAAGCCTTACCTTGCATCTTCAGAGATTCCCCCCACCCCAATAAATCAGGCTTGAAAGAAGCAATCTATTGTAGCCCAAAGAATGGGTTGTCGTGTGTGTGTGTGTGTGTGTGTGTGATATACCCATGACTAAAGTGGGTAAATGTGCCCCCAAGCCCCCAAAGGTTGGCAACCCTGTGCTAGTGTTAATAATAATAATAATAATAATAATAATAATAATAATAATAATAATTTATACCCTGCCCATCTGGCTGGGTTTCCCCAGCCACTCTGGGCTGCTCCCAACAGAATATTAAAAATATGATAAAACACCAAACATTAAAAACTTCCCTAAACAGGGCTGCCTTCAGATGTCGTCTAAAAGTCAGGTAGTTGTTTATTACCTTGACATCTGATGGGAGGGCATTCCACAGGACGGGCGCCACTACCGAGAAGGCCCTCTGCCTGGTTCCCTGTAGCTTCACTTCTTGCAGTTAGGGAACCGCCAGAAGACCCTCAGAGCTGGATATCAGTGTCTGGGCTGAATGATGGGGGTGGAGACGCTCCTTCGGGTACACTGAAGGACATTAAGCAATCTTAAAACACGGAACATTCTGGCTGCACTGTGCTCCCAATTCACCGTACATATTATTTGTCCATGTGACGATGAGGTCGCACCGTATCTCAGTGGTGGAGTGGGTGAATTAAAGCACAGACTGGGCAGGTAGGAGAAGGGAGCAGAATCCTCCCTTCCGGGGCCAGCCCAACCATGAGGCAAGGTAAGGAAACTGCCTCAGGCGGCAGGATCCACAGGGCCACAGATCCTGATGTAGATCTTCATTCCCCCCTTGTTCCTGATGGAGATCTTCACTCAGAAGAGAAAGGGGAGCCATTTTGTGGTTTGCCTCAGGCGCCAAAATGTCTTGGACCAGCCCTGCTCCCTCATACATTCATCCCTCTGATGTTGTTGTTTTTTAAAAAAGCTATTTGACTCCCAATGGGACTGCTCCTCCTTTCTCACAGGGTGAAACAATATGAGCAAGAGCACCAAGCCCCCCACTTACTTACGTTGGCATTTTAAATCAGTCTTCTCCCACCCCAGACATTTTATAGAGAATTGGCAGGATCCTTGCTGGGTGCTGCCCCCATTCCATATACAGTGGTACCTCGGGTTACATACGCTTCAGGTTACAGACTCCACTAACCCAGAAATATTACCTCGGGTTAAGAACTTTGCTTCAGGATGAGAACAGAAATTGTGCTCCGGCGGCACGGCGGCAGCAGGAGGCCCCATTAGCTAAAGTGGTGCTTCAGGTTAAGAACAGTTTCAGGTTAAGAACGGACCTCCGGAACGAATTAAGTACTTAACCCGAGGTACCACTGTACTTTGCCACATACGCCGGCATGCATTCCAGAGTTGTAGCTTTGATTATTACTGATAGGGTTTCTATTTCTATTTTATTGGTTTATGTGCCAACAGATTCTGCCAGTACTTCCAAAATAGTGTGCTGTATCTGAATACTTGGAACAGCCTGGCTTCCTACACAGTGAGCCTAGCCAGATGGTCGATTGCACTAATGGGGCACATTTGTAATACTTCAGGCACTGAATTAATAATAGTTAGTTTAGCCCAATGGGAATACAACCTAATAGAGTGTCTCCTTAACGTATCTGGTCCCCATCACTTTGATTGCTCTGAGCCGATGAGGTTTTTTCCACAAAGCTTAAAGGTGATCTCCAAGGATTTTTACTCTTTTTCTGGTTAACTTTGTGTTACATGAGAAGTGCTGGGAAAATAGGATTTCTGGAAATAAATATATAAAAGCGTGCGTTTTATGCTCCTTGAAATGAAATAAAATAAATTAAAGGCCAAAGGAATCAAAAGTGTGAAGCCTGATTTTCATTGAATTTATTGGAGAACAGTGTGTTGCTTATTATAGGAACGCTGAAGCAGAAGGCTGAAAAGCAGAACAACCCGTCTCCCTGCCATTGCTAGTCATAAGAACATAAAAGGAGCTCTGCTGGATAAAACCAAAGAAAGCCCACCTGGTCCAGCATTCTGCACTCACAGTAGGGATGCAGGTGGCGCTGTGGTCTAAACCACTGAGCCTCTTGGGCTTGCCGATCAGAAGGTTGGCAGTTCGAATCCCCGCGATGGGGTGAGCTCCCATTGCTCTGTCCCAGCTCCTGCCAACTTGCAGTTCGAAAGCACACCAGTGCAAGTAGATAAATAGGTACGCTGTGGTGGGAAGGTAAACGGCGTTTCCATGCACTCTGGTTTCTGTCACGGTGTCCCATTGCACCAGAAGCAGTTTAGTCATGCTGGCCACATGACCCGGAAAGGTGTCTGTGGACAAACGCCGACTCTCTCGGCCTGAAAGCAAGATGAGCGCTGCATCCCACAGTTGCCTTTGACTGGACTAAACCATCCAGGGGTCCTTTACCTTTTACTGTACTCATAGTGACCAGCCAGATGCCTGAGAGAAACCCACGAGCAGGATGTGACCACAAAAGCATGCTCCCCCCTTGTGCTTCCTGGCAACTGGCATTCAGAGGCATACTGTACAGGATCATAGCATGGGGGATCACAACATGGGGGCCCCCAGGGGTGGTTGCCCTGGGTGCAAAATTGTTAGGAGATGCAAAATTTCAACACCTGGTGCTGAAATGCAGAATTAAGAAGAAGAGTTTGGATTTCATATCCCGCTTTATCACTACCCTAAGGAGTCTCAAAGCAGCTAACATTCTCCTTCCCCTTCCTTCCCCACAACAAACACTCTGTGAGGTGAGTGAGGCTGAGAGACTTCAGAGAAGTGTGACTAGCCCAAGGTCACCCAGCAGTTGCATGTGGAGGAGCGGGAACGCAAACCCAGTTCACCAGATTATGAGTCCACCGCTCTTAACCACTACACCACACTGGCTCTCTTGCATTTATGGGTAAAATGCATTTATGGGTAAAAACATGCAAAAGTAACACAGAACAAAACCTCCAACATTACTGGGCGTGTTCAAAATGAGCTCTTCCCTCAAAAAAAAAGGGGGTGGTGGAGAGCTGTGACACCTTCGAACTTGAAAAACAGATGTATTGAATGTACAGGCCAGGTTTCATTCCAATAGCTAAATGTTCCAGAGACATTCCATTCCTTTTTCTTTTACGTGTCTCTCCTCAAATCTAGAACCATGCAATTCCTCTCCTTTAATCTAGAACCTTACTGTTCCTCTTCGGCCAGATCTTTACAAAAAACATTAGGCTATTGGACTAGATCAAAGCTGGCTTTGACACCATATACAATCTTGAGCCTATAGCCAGCAGAACAAGCTAAGTCAGAAAAATATACAGAAGAACACAGAGCACAAACCCACTTTTCTTCTTACAAAATGGCCTTTTAAAATGTGTGTGTGTGTGTGTAGGGACACTAATTGTCATTGTCCATGTGTTAAGCGGACACAAGCAAAAGCCTGAGAGAGCAAACAATTACGATCCTTCCTCAGAAATCAAATGACTGTGGCACAAATGAAAAAGCAGGAGATCAGTAAATTGGAAGTTAACGAGAAACAATGCTGTAATTCATGGATATAAAGCAGAGCTCTCTGTTAAGCCCGTGCGCAAACACACAGCCATGCCCCACTGCAGTTTTAAAACAAACAACATGCTTTGCAGTCAGTTTGCTCACTGGTCCCAGGGAACTGGCAAGCTGTTTTAATCTGACGAAAGGTCCAAACGCACAATGGAAGCGTTGCCTTTCAAGTTAATCGGTTCAATAAAAGCCGGGGCCCTGCTCTTGTGGATTCAGAATGAACCTGTGATGAAAACTGACATGAAAGCACAGTAAAGTTTCTCAGATGCAACGAATCTCACTGGCAGAAAGTGGCCGGACAATTGAGTTCTCCCTCACCGGCGACTCACTGACACAATCTGCTCTGAAGTACATTCACTTGGAAGGACGACCCAATGATGTCAGTGTGAGAGACAAGTGTCACTTTCTCTCACTTTCCCAACTGGTGGGAAGTTCCAGAGAATGTCAGGGTCCGTTCTCTTTGGAAGGAGAAAGCAGGACGTGATGTACCTGAGATTGGCCTGTTGCCATATGAAAAGTACAGCAACGAAAAGGAGACAGGAAGGTTTGCCAACCCTCCAGCCGTTAATTGATGCTTAAACATTGATTTCCCATCTCTTAAGTCATGGGTAGGCAAACTAAGGCCTGGGGGCCAGATCTGGCCCAATCGCCTTCTAAATCTGGCCCGCGGATGTCCAGGAATCAGCGTGTTTTTACATGAGTAGAATGTGTCCTTTTATTTAAAATGCATCTCTGGGTTATTTGTGGGGCATAGGAATTCGTTCATTTCACCACCACCCCCCAAATATAGTCCGGCACCCCACAAGGTCTGAGAGACAGTGGACCGGTCCCCTGCTGAAAAAGTTGGCTGACCCCTGTCTTAGACCTTGCTCAGATTCCAGGAAATACGAGCCGCCAAAACCTTTGCCAATCTTCCAGTGAGTAACCATTGTTAACTGGAAGAAAACGTGTTGCTGCCTCGGGTCACTATAAGGCAGAGGTCACCGACCATTTTGGGCCAATGGGCACATTTGGAATTTTGAGAAACGGCCGTCACAAAATGGCTGCCAGCAGTTGTGTGGCATAACTTCCAATGGCTGCCACATCCAAGAGAAGAAAAAGAATTGGGAACCAAAAATGGCCCATCCCCCACTGGACATTGTGAATTTTTGAGACGATATTTACTGGAACCTTTCGCAGGCATCACAGCAAGTAGCGGTGAATGTGCTAGCATTAAGAACACATAGGGTTCTTGTTGGCCTGTTGCATTGTAGAAGTGGATGTTTGATCAGTTTTCCATGTGTTAAGAATGCTTCTTCTTTAAGATTATGGACTGGGTGTGACCCGATGCCTGCATAGAAATACCATACAAGCTGACAAAAGAGACTGCATAGTTTGCTTTCAGGATATGCTGAATATGGACACTTGCCCAGATAAACCACAGGTGTTTGGGGCCTTAATAAAGATCTTCCAAAGCTTGCACTCATTTCAGGTGTTACAGTTAGCCTGGAGTATCTATGCCAGGAATACGGAACCTATGGCCTTCCAGATATGCCTCAGCTCCCATCTGCCCCAGAGATGATGGGAGTTGCAATCCAACATCTGGAGAATCAAAGGTTCCCCATCACTGATCTGTGCAACAGTATCACTGGCTATCAGTAACAAGGGCTGATATCAAGGTTTTCTTAAGCTGTCCTGGCTCTTTTATTAAGACTCCAAACGAGCTGGAAAGTTAGTAGAACCCACATGCTGCAAACTTGTGGTATTTTGTAGTATCTTATTTGTTTGCAGATGTACAGCTGAGTAAAGGGGTGCAGAAGCAAACACAGCAGATAGTATCACCCCCAAACCTGCTTGTGCAATCTAGAATCCCCTTGGTAATCTTTCAGCAAGCTGCAAAATTGAAAAAGGGTAACCTGTAGTACCACTTAGTACTGGGTAAAAGGTAAAGGTAAAGGGACCCCTGACCATTAGGTCCAGTCGTGACTGACTCTGGGGTTGCGGTGCTCATCTTGCTTTATTGGCCTAGGGAGCTTCCGGGTCATGTGGCCAGCATGACTAAGCCACTTCTGGCGAACCAGAGCAGCGCACAGAAACGCCATTTACCTTCCCGCCGGAGTGGTACCTATTTATCTACTTGCACTTTGACATGCTTTCGAACTGCTAGGTTGGCAAGAGCAGGGACCGAGCAACGGGGATTCGAACACCAACCTTCTGATCGGCAAGTCCTAGGCTCTGTGGTTTAACCCACAGCGCCACCCGCATCCCTTAGTACTGGGGGTGCTACCTAAATGCAGTATGAGACTCAGCTAATTAGACTCCTGCTTTTTCTCCCTGCACAGGTTTCAAGACTATTTCCAGCATAGCACCTAGTACTTACACACATACAAACATTCATTAATTACTTTCAAATATTTAAAAAGGCAATAATTCCAAAATGGAGCAAGACATTTGCTGAATTTAGGGGGAAAAAAAACACCTACCATGCTTACCTTTTGAAGAATGATCAGTAACAGGGGTTTCCCTTCCCCCCTTTTCTTTTCCTGGATGGTGTTTAGGATACTTGGAATCGAGTCAATATTCATTTAAGTTCTTAGATCTTAGGCCAGTCACAGCAGAAACGAAGGTGCTGGTGGTTGCTGGGAGAGGAGATGGAATGGGGCCATTTTCTGCTACAGAAAACAACAGCTCCATTCTCAAAAATAATATTCTGTCTAGGTCTCCTGGACTGTTTTGCCAGGTGAAGAATGCCTGGAAGATTAGGCCGGGGAAGGGGGCCTTATGTGAAAAGCAAAGAACAAGGTATTTTTTAAAATACATTTGGAATTTAAACCTCCTCCCCTTCCAATCACCTTAAATGGAAAAAGTATCAAGGTTGTTCAACTGGGAAATCAAGTCATTTCCCGACACCCTAGTTCTAAGCCTATTATACTTAGAAGCAAATCCCATTATTTCAACACTTATTCCCATATACATCATTACGAATGGCAAATGCACATATAAAAGAACCAAGTCTATTTGCCTCTAGAACTAAAACTTCTCCAGATTATTCAGAAGTCAATGGCATCCCGGCATAAATGACCTAAAAAAAGGTTTATTATAGGGGTTGGTAACCTTCCCTCCTAAAATGCAGACATAATCTCAGAGGGATATGGTTGGGGACTGCATGCCAGCAGCGATGCCCCAAATATGCCATACCCTCCCAGCTGAGACATGTAAATTTCTGGTGCCAATGGGAGACCTATTTTTTGGAGCAGGCCATTGCAGGGTATTAATGCCCAGGTCAGGTTTTCCTATTATCACTGGTGCTTTTTTCTGCCTTTTTTACAATACTGTATTGTGGTTTTGATTCATGGTACTGCACCCCCACGCCACAATCGGTTGCAATAAAGAGTAGGCTAAAAATATATTCCAGGTGGCGCTGTGGTCTAAACCACTGAGCTTTGGGCTTGCCGATCAAAAGGTTGGCAGTTCAAATCCCCGTGATGGGGTGAGCTCCCATTGCTCGGTCCCAGCTCCTGCCAAACTAGCAGTTTGAAAGCACGCCAAAAAGTGCAAGTAGATAAATAGGTACCGCTCCGGCGGGAAGGTAAATGGCGTTTCCATGCGCTGCTCTGGTGTCGGTGTTCCATTGCACCAGAAGCGGCTGACATGCTGGCCACATGAACCCGAAAAACTGTCTGCAGAACAGACAAATGTCGGCTCCCTCGGCCTGTAAAGCAAGATGAGTGACGCAACCCCAGAGTCATTCGTGGCTGGACTTAACTGTCAGGGGTCCCTTTACCTTTAAAATACCTTAAATGCATAAAAAATAATGCATATGCACTCATAGGAGCCCGCTATAAGCCTCATGTAATACACCATTTCAACAGCTAGTTTTCCAGTTGTTCTTAGCTCTCCATTGCATATCTCTGGGTTGTCTAGGCCCCACCACATAATCACAGCCCTCATTCTGCTCATAGTACCAGTGGCAGCCTCAATGTTTGAAGATGGTGGCATCTTGTCACGCCACCCTCCAACCACGCTGCAGCAGTAACTGCCCAAACGGGGGACTTACTTTGCAGAAGCAACTGTATGGTTTATTGGTAACTGCTTCTTTAAATAGCTTGAAGAGTTCCCTGAAAAAAAGCTTTGGAGCGTGATTCTTCTTTTTTCTTTTTTTTACATTTGTGCATAACCAGTGACCTGTTACAACTGTCACTCAAAGGAGTAGAGATACTCCTTCAAGAAGCATAACACTGGATTTAATGTGTATACCCAAGCACAGGACGAGCTGCCTTCAAACATCTTTGTGCAATCCTAGGATGCAAGTATCAGGTATAATTCTATTTAGAATCCAGCATATAAGGATAATTGCTGCACAATACTAAACATCCTTCTTCAAAAACAAATCCCATCGAGTTCAGTGGCCCTTGTAGCAGAACCCTCTGCACATTCCTGAGTAGACGTGCCACAGGATTGCATAGCAAAGGTCCCTGAACTGTGGGATTTATTTTTGAAAGCTATTGTGCTGTTAGTAATACCAATATTGTGCTTAGCAGTGAACCCCATTGTGTTAAATGGGACTTACTCCAAGCATGCCTAGGATTGCAGCCTCCTCCCTTGTTAAGTATGCTAAAGACAATACAATCCTGTACACGCCTCCTCAAACAGAAGTCCCACTAAGCTCATTGAGGTTGGCTCTCATAGAAGGTGGTCTATGGTTTCAGACAGGGCAAATGTCGTCTTTCCAATTTAGCCTTCATGGACATTACAAACATGCTCAGAAGTAGCATCCCAAGCATTCCTTCGTTGGAAAGAGGCTTGCAGGCTCTTGTAAGTTTTCTAACCTTTGGTTTGTTTCTTAAATACAGTGGTACCTCGGGTTACATATGCTTCAGGTTACAGACTCCGCTAACCCAGAAATAGTGCTTCAGGTTAAGAACTCTGCTTCAGGTTAAGAACAGAAATCGTGCTCCGGTGGCGCGGCGGCAGCAGGAAGCCCCATTAGCTGAAGTGGTGCTTCAGGTTAAGAACAGTTTCAGGTTAAGAATGGACCTCCGGAACGAATTAAGTACTTAACCCGAGGTACCACTGTACTGCTCCTCTTTTATTCTGGCACTTTGCGCTCTCTCCCTCTTACCTGCTATCCTCACAAACGTAGATTAAGCATTTCAAAGCTTTTAATTTAAATAAGGAAACACAACAATGATGCACACAGATAACTTTGCTATGTGTTTGTTTAAGATATACCTTTATTTATGTACAACAAAAGGAGGCACATTTAGGTAACTAAACTCAATCCTAAATACTGTGAAAAATGACTCTGCATAGCAGAGAATCTATATGAAAATTCATGGTGGGTGTTAATTCAAGACAAGTTTAGACTGATAGTGAGGGTGGGTGTTCTGTATCCGTGCATATGTATATAAAATTTGGGTCAGTGTTCTTGTATTGTAGTGCAAACTTAGATGGCAGCTTATTAGTCCAATGACTCAGAACCCACGCCAGCCAATTTACACTTCAATCTGAGATACGTTTACTTCTAAGGAACAAGCTCAGAATCACTGTGTTTGGCCTGTAGTTTGTAAAAGCATTAAATTGCCAAGTGGGCGACAGCAGCTTAGGTCACAATTCACCATTAATGCAATTACAGGTGGGAATTTGGTCGTTTGTGAATTGTACTTTATGCATAATGATTTGTGTGTCACTCCCACCTCTTGTGATTTGCTCTGAGATTCTAGTTTGTGATTCTATGCGATGCCCCATTCGTATTTTGTTAGTATAAATCACTCAAAATAACTCCAAGGACATAAAATCGATGTATGTGAATCCGTGCAAAACACTGTATATTATATTATAATGTTCCATGGATATAAGTGAAACTTTCTTAACACACAACTGCACTAAAGGAGAACAGTCTCAGCTAAGAAGTGTAGGAATGCCACATCATGGCTTACTGATTCTGGAAGAACCACGTACTCACTTCAGGTGTGCAAACGTAACAAACAGAAAGCCAGTTGTGGATCGGGACTTGGTAAGCAAGTGCAAAGCAGTAATTTTCACCTGTGCCATACACTAAACCTAAAAGGTTTTGACTAAATGTGATCTGTGAAGTGCTGCTAGCCAAAGAAGCATACCTGAAGTAAGAGGTCCTAGTTGAGGTGGTGGAGGACTGCAATAATGCAATAACTGCTTTGCAAAGTCAGACAACATCAAAGATGCAATCCATTGTTACGCATACATCAATTATTGACTGAAATATGCTATCATCTGCATCTGGAATACTGTTCCTAGAGATGTCTAGAGAACAGTCAGTGTACAATGGTGCTATTACATCATGCCAAGCTGTTTTCAGCTGGGATTTCTTACCAAAGCAGAAAAATACTCATTGACTCGAGCGATTCACAGGTGATTTTCTCTGTCTTATATTCTTGGAATTCCTTTTTGGAGGACAAAAATGAAGCTGCCACATATTTCATATACAGTACCATGCACAGCTAATTTGGATATGAAGCACTGAACTATCAGAAAACACCTACGAAAGCAGACAACTTTCCGTTTTGTTTGCAGAACAGCAAAAAACTCCCTTCAGCCCAAAATATACAAAAACCTCCACCTCTAATTATTTTCTTTAAATATTAATTTATTCTGATATTTTCTCTTAAAAAAAACAAACACAGTCTGCATTGATTGTGATAAATCCCAGCCAGAGATGCAAAATAACTTGGGCTCCATCTGTTGCAATGAGGCAAGATAACAGAAGCAAGAAACTGTAAATTCTGAAAGACTATCTATTGACACTATTTTGATACAGTGCTTCTCCTTGACCTTTATTTTAATAGCCCCACCATCACTTCACTGATATCCCACAGTTTCCTTGCAACCAAATCATCCATGGCATTGGGCAACAGTTGTTCCTCCTTGCAGTTTCCAAAATATTTCCCAGATACACCCTCTACTTCGGGGGAGGAGGCCAGATAAATTGAAGTCTGGGCTCCTTCCAGAGGGGTTTTGAAGAAAGCCCAAGATACCAAATTGAAGAGGGGCTTGGCTAGCAAAGGGATATGTATATGTCTGCCTAGATTTGTTCTGACAATACCGGGATGGAGCACATTGACCGTGACCCCTGTGTTCTCTAAGCGACGGGCTAATTCCCTAGTGAACAGTATGTTGGCCAGTTTACTCCGACTATAAGCAAAGCTTTTATTGTAATTTAGCTCACTGTTCAAGTCATCAAAGTTGATCTCGCCGTATTTGTAAAGCTTGGAGGAAACCACCACAATCCTGCTGGGTGCAGAGCTTTTCAGAAGTCCAAGGAGGAGGTTTGTGAGCAAGAAGTGCCCCAAGTGGTTGACGCCAAACTGCATCTCGAAGCCGTCCTCCGTCTTCATATAGGGACACTGGAATATCCCTGCGTTGTTGATCAGGACATCCAGCCTAGACTCTTCCTTTACACAACAGAGGGGAAAAGTAGTCAGACATACTAATGCAATAATATTAAAATTATTCATTTTTAAAAAAATAAAGATTAAAAAGTTTGATCCCTTAAAAGTGAAGCCCTTTACAGTTGACCACTTCCAATGCTAGCAATACCTTTATTGATTTGGCCACACACCATTTTGATTTTCCGCTCACTCCAACCTGAACCTATTGACCTTTTTTTCCTGTCAATGTTTTTTCTCTTAGGGTTATTTGTTGGGATGGGACATACAGTGGTACCTCAGGTTAAGTACTTAATTCGTTCCGGAGGTCCGTTCTTAACCTGATACTATTCTTAACCTGAAGCACCACTTTAGCTAATGGGGCCTCCTGCTGCTGCCGCGCCGCCGGAGCACGATTTCTGTTCTCATCCTGAAGCAAAGTTCTTAACCTAAGGTACTATTTCTGGGTTAGCGGAGTCTGTAACCTGAAGCCTATGTAACCCGAGGTACCACTGTACTAGCAGTGGGTAGGCCCACGCTCTTTTCTCCCACTTTCTGCCACTCCTTTGTCTCTTCCCCCTCTCTCAGCCACCTCCTTTTCTCTCCTTTTTGCCTCATGAAAGGCAGACCAAAGGCTGCTTGAAATTAGGCTGAGGGCAGCATGTGAGCCTAAGGCTACTAGTTGACCACCCTCAATGTAGAGTTGGACCGTTACTGGGTTCAAATCTCCTCTGTCATTAAACTCTCCCTAGGTGACTTTCTATGTTTCAATCATTCTCTCAGCTTAGCCGATGTCACACGTTTGTGATACAAAAGAGGGGCATTTTGCCCCTCTCTGATAATCTTTGGGGAAAGTGAGGGGGGAAAGAAAAAATGCAATCAAAAACACTTCACAAGCAGCATGGCCTAACACATACAAGTTCCGCAACTCATCTCACTTTTAATAGCAATTAAATGTTATTGGAGAACACTCCAACTGCTGAAACACAAGCCATTTACAGTGCAACGCTATTCATGTCTCCTCAGAACTAAGTCCTAATGAATTCAGTGGGGATTACTCCCAGGTAAGCAGGGACAGGACTGCAGTCTCGTTCACTAATAATATTTAGCTATACAGCTGCACTGTGCCAGGATTGTCAGGTCCGTTATTTCAAAATATCATATCTCCAAAAACATACAAGAGTGCAAGCTCTTAAACTGGCTCATTTGGTGTGACCAGACACTCTTCTCATATTTAATCTCATATTTAATTGATCACTTATTGACTACTGGGTGAAAGGAGACTTCCAGTGACTTTCCAAGGAATGCAAAACAAATACAGCTTATGGCTTTGTTGTTTCTGCTAAATTGTCACTGTTTTACTCTCTTTTGATACTATTAATAGTTGCATGGCAAGATTTGACATTGGAAGGTCAAATGCTCTTTTATTAATGATATTGCTGTATCTGTCCCCTTCAGATGTACTGGATTCTATTTTCCTATATATGTAACATACTCTTCTCTCGCTTTTGTGATAATAAATTCTAAGATTTATTACTGACATGTCATTCTTCTTGGAAAAAGGATACTGTGTGTACTTCACAAAACAAGTTTGCATCTGATACAAGCAAGGCCCAAACCAGATCAACCAGCTCCTCTTCTCTATCCACCCTGCGGTTGTCTGTCTTTAAATCAATAGGATCAGGCTGTAACCGCCCTCATACTGGCTAGTCTGCATTTCAGATTCAGCAAAGATATATTCTCACTGTTAATGCTTATGGTGCAAAGAGGAAACCATTTTGTGCTGTGCCATTTGGGTAGACTGCTACATTAAACAGCAACAACTACAGATGAAGGGAGCTACCAATAAAATCTTAGGCGTACATCGGACAGCTCAATTGGTAGAGCATGAGGCTCTTAATCTCAGGGTTGTGGATTCGAGCCCCAAGTTAGGCAAAAGATCCCTGCATTGCAGGGGGTTGGGCTAGATGACCCTTGCGGTCCCTTCCGACTCGACAATTGTTTTGACTCTGTGGTCCCTTGAACTCTGGACCCCAAGACATGCATACTTAGAAGAAAGCCCCACTTATTTATTCTGAAATTCTATACCTCAGTCAGTTGGGATCAAAGGTGAAGGGTCTTTAGCAGCAGCCCAGCCAGATGGGTGGGAGATGATAATAATAATAATAATAATAATAATAATAATAATGGCAGCTCTTTAGCTGCAGCCCAGCCAGATGGTATAAATCATAATCATAGCTCTTTACCTGGAACCCAGCCAGATGGGCAGGGTATTATTATTAATAATAATAGTGGTAGCTCTTTAGGTGTATCCCAGTCAGATGGGCAGGGTATATAATAATAGTAACAGTAACAGTAATAATAATGGCAGCTCTTTAGCTGCAGCCCAGCCAGATGGGCATAGTATTATTAATAATAATATTAATGATGATTGCTCTTTACCAGATGGGCCGGGTATGTATGTATGTATAAATAAATGATGTTATTATTATTATTATTATTAACAATAGCAGCTCTTTAGCTGCGGCCCAGCCAAATGGGCAGGGTAATAATAATAATAATAATAATAATAATAATAATTGCTCTTTAGCTACAGCCCAGCCAGATGGGCAGGGTATTAATAATAATAATATTATTAATGATGATGATTGCTCTTTAGCTGCAGCCCAGCCAGATGGGCCGGGTATGTATGTATAAATGATATTAATAATAATAATCATAATAATAATAATAGCAGCAGCTCTTTAGCTGCAGCCCAGCCAGACGGGCCTGTCTCTTTACCTGCAGCACCTGCTGGCAGAAGCGGCGCACGGAGCCCAGCGAGGCCAAGTCCAGCTGGCGCACCACCAGCTCCCCTCGGCCTCCTCCTCCTCCTCCTCCTCCTCTTTCCCTCGAGCTCAGGCCCATCTCGGCGCGCAGCTCCCGGGCCGCCTCCTCGGCGCGCGCCGGGTCCCGGCAGGCCATGATGACCCTCGCGCGGCGCCTCAGCAGCTCGGCCGCCGCCGCCCGGCCCAGGCCGCTGTTGGCGCCCGTGATGATCACCGTCTTGCCCTCCATCCAGCACAAGGCAGCGGCGGCGGCGGCCGTAGCGCTGCCCTTCCCCGCGGCCGCCGCCGGCCAGAGGCGCCGGGCGAGGAGCAGCAGCCCTCCGCCCACAGCCGCGGCCACAACCACCGCGGCGGCAGTGGCGGCCATCGCCCTCGGAGCCCCGCCCCAGAGCGTGAGGGCGCAACCCCGGAGCGGCGCGGCCCAATGAGCGCCGCCCGCGGGCGGGCGCAGGCGCCTCAGCGTCGCAAGGCATCCTGGGAGATGTAGTTGCGTCTGTGCAGCCTTTCTCACCCTTGGGTCCCCTGATGTTTTGGGGCCTACAACTCCCATCATCCCTGACCACTGGTCCTGTGAGCTAGGGATCATGGGAGTTGTAGGCCAAAGAACATCTGGGGACCCAAGGTTGAGAAAGGCTGCAAGTTCCAGAGCGCTTGAGAACTACATCTCCCAGGATGCCTTGCGACGCTGAGGAGCCGTCGCAGCACATGGTGCTCTAGGAAGCCCGCGCGACGCATTTTTTTTTTGTCAAATTTATTTATTTGGTCATTCAGATTAAAGTTTTGCAATCTCATATCTAACGCGCACAATGACAAACCTAGACAGCATCTTAAAAAGCAGAGACATCACCTTGCCAACAAAGGTCCGTATAGTTAAAGCTATGGTTTTCCCAGTAGTGATGTATGGAAGTGAGAGCTGGACCATAAAGAAGGCTGATTGCCGAAGAATTGATGCTTTGGAATTATGGTGCTGGAGGAGACTCTTGAGAGTCCCATGGACTGCAAGAAGATCAAACCTCTCCATTCTGAAGGAAATCAGCCCTGAGTGCTCACTGGAAGGACAGATCGTGAAGCTGAGGCTCCAATACTTTGGCCACCTCATGAGAAGAGAAGACTCCCTGGAAAAGACCCTGATGTTGGGAAAGATGGAGGGCACAAGGAGAAGGGGACGACAGAGGATGAGATGGTTGGACAGTGTTCTCGAAGCTACCAACATGAGTTTGACCAAACTGTGGGAGGCAGTGGAAGACAGGAGTGCCTGGCGTGCTCTGATCCATGGGGTCATGGTCAGACACGACAAAAAGGATTAAACAACAATCCAACACGCAACATAAAAACAAGGTTCCAAAGAATCTCCTGGACTTCCCTCCTCCCCTTTGTGGGTCCCTATTGTTAGTCATTTCCTCCTGCATCTTTTATAACAATCCAAATCTTTTACATCTCCATTATGTCCAAAATTCACCATCAACACAAGTGTTATTCCAATCCTGCTAACGATTTTAGCTGTTTACAATGGTTTTTAAGATAAATTATAAGGTTTTCCCATTCCTTACTAAAATTTTGGTCTTCCTGATTTCTGATTCATTTTGGCCATTTAGGCGTAATCCATCAACTTGATCTGCCATTCTTCTCTAGAAGGGGCTTTATCTTCTTTACCACAGCTGCATGAATATTATTAGCCCAGAGGTGGAAATAAGTCTTTCTGCACCATGTGGGGAAGCCTCAGCTTAGATTTCCATACACCAACAACTAAAAAAAGGGTGTACCTCTATGGTTGCAATTGCTTACAGATGGATATACCTGTCCTGTGAGGTAAATAACCGAATCTAGTTATTGCCATCCCTACCAAAAAGTGAGAAATTTAAACTAAGAAAATGTTTGTTTTTTATTTTATTTTTTTAAAAAACCAAGTGTGAACCTCCATACTGATCTGTAAGATGGTGGGAGAAATGAGCATTTTAGCAAAGCTTTACATTACTGTTCATCAGCTGCTTTCTTTCTTTTAAACTGTAAAAAATAAGCAGACTTAAGTGTTTCAAAAATACCCATTTACTGCCATAGGAGAAAATTTAAGTGCATGGTAAAATAAATGGCAGCACCCCACTTATAGAACTCTCTTCCAGGGGATCAGAAGTCTTGAAGAGCAAATTAAGGATTTTTTTGTTTGTTCGGGCAATTTTGGTTTTGAAAGACATATTTTTAGAATTGTTTATGATGGACACTTTGTTTATGTATAATATACAATAATTGCGTAGTTTTAACAATTTGGTTCTGCTTTGTGTTTTACACAGCTTTATGTTGTACAGCACAACTGGACGCCTTCAGCTGTTCCAGTTGCAACAAAACATGTCTCTCCTGTATTGGTCTCTACAGCCACAGCAGGTGCTATGACCTTCCAAAAGTTTTACTTCACCTCGAAAAGCACACTCTTCCATTGTCTCCTGAGGCAGATGGATGCCAACAATACTGTTAGCTGCCCTGGGCTCCTTGTAGAAGGGTGTGGTTACAAACCTAATGAATCCATTTTAAACCAAGAGTGATATGAAAATAGGAATCTGTGTTGTTGAGGGTCACAAGTCACATGCTCTGCCTTTCGATATCTAGCTATTTTTATGAATAGAATAGGGTTTTCCAGATGTTTATTTCCCTCTTACAGCACTGCACTAAAAAGTAGCATTAGCAACACTGTATTTTATATTTGTTATGCAAGCCACTTAGGTTTGTGTTAAGCAGAGAATAAATATTTTACATTAAAAACAAATATATACAAAGCAGCAATGCCAGCAAGAATGTTGACTGCGTTCCAAAGGCGAAAAGATTTTCAATTTGCAAATGAAACCAATGATGAACAAGGCGGGACAACTGATTGCTGTTGGACTTTGACCCAGCCAGCATGTCCAATGATATTATTAGTGATGGGAGTTGCAGACCAACTCTTGCGAGAGTCACAGGTTCTCCACCTGCTGCAATAGACTTTAAAAGGGTTAGATTTACAAGGCCTTTCTTTAGATGCAAGATAGGAATGTCTGCTCCCCACAGGAAATAATGAGAAAACATGAGAGCTTCATGCTCTTTCTAACAGCATTTTGTGTCTATTTTGCAAATGCAAATGCAGTTCAGTGTTATTATCCCTATATTGCATGTGGTGTTGTGGCTGAGACAGAGTGTACCACGAGAGGCCTGCATTGTAGCTTCATGTTATCCCCATACTGCAAGGTGGGGAAGGATCCATTGTTCATGTTGCAGCTTCTGGTTAGAGGCTGATAAAAGCCAACCATAATGTAAAGGTAAAGGGACCCCTGACCATTAGGTCCAGTTGCGGATGACTCTGGAGTTGCAGCGCTCATCTCATCTCACTTTACTTGCCGAGGGAGCCAGCGTACCGCTTCTGGGTCATGTAGCCAGCATGACTAAGCCACTTCTGGCGAACCAGAGCAGCGCACGGAAACGCCGTTTACCTTCCCGCCGGAGTGGTACCTATTTATCTACTTGCACTTTTGACGTGCTTTCGAACTGCTAGGTTGGCAGGAGCAGGGACTGAGCAACGGGAGCTCACCCCGTCGCGGGGATTCAAACCACCGACCTTCTGATCAGCAAGCCCTAGGCTCTGTGGTTTAACCCAACCATAATGTAGTATGGAGTTATTATGGCATGTCCCAACGCCGTATGTAGTTGACCTTGCACCCCTGGCAGAACCGTCCAGATTGCGCCCCCAGCCATGGACAAATTAGCTCTTCTTTCTACCTCTCCTCAACCCCAACCCCCTCCACCCATTCAATTCCTCACGCACTTTACCTTGTAATGAATTCTTTCACCGAAAACCCAGTATTTATTTATATATATATATTATAGCCAATTTTGCGCCCCACCCCTCGCCTGCACCCCTGGTGGGGGCCTTCCTCACCACCCCTTAGCTATGGCCCTGGCATGTCCAATCCAAGATTTGGTTTCTTTTTTTATAAGAAAGATGTCATCTGGGTGCTCCGCTTATCATAATTGCCATCCTGGGTGGCACTCCCCAACTATTATCTCTTAGCACAGTCAAAATTGGTGCTTGAGGAATTCTGTTCTCAACAAGGCAATATAGTAAATAGCCAGTCAAACAGATCTAACTCCACTAGTGTTAAATAATGATTCATGGGTAGACGCATAATGGGAAAATAGGTACATAATGTTGAAAGGTGCACTCTTTCTTGTGCATCAGTATCATGTTTCATAGGCTTCTATCCCTGTCCTGCTGTGCACTTGGAATTGAGTCCCATAGAACTTTGTTTCTGACCAAGCTGCATGATACCAGAGAATAAAACTGTAGTGCTTTCTGTTTTGGGAGCTGGACTGGGACCTTAATACAAATGCTTGAATACACTTTGAGCACAGACGTCTGCCTTATGTCCTTAAAAGAGGGCACAGATAGGGAAATAATTAAACCAAGGGCAAAAGTAATGGTTATTCTCATTCCAGGGAGCAATCTGAAGAATTATTTTGCCATACAATCCCAGTTGAATGAAATTTGGCAATCTAATTGCAGTGGTTATGCAAGAGACATTTAAAAGTGTTTAGAAATATTAGCCTAGAAATACGGTATCTATGCAGGGATGTAATGATTCCTGCATTCTTTCAACATTGCAACTTAAAACAATATATTGTTTACTTCTACAGGACAACCGTTCATGAATACGCCTTTAAAAGATGCTTGAATAAATAGAAAAATGCTGATTAAGTCTCTAAAAGCCGCTTTTATTAAACCAGACAAGTAGTTTAAAAAAGAAAAGGGTACGTGTGTATCCCTATAAATCACAAGACATTTACTAATAGGTTTATACCACTTTCACACAGCACAAACCATGTGAAGCACGAGATAGAAGGCAGGGCCCGGTCTACTGACTGCCATTAACAGTTATATATACTGTCACTTTGGTGTTTGTGGTAGCAGGTGTCTGTGTGCATGATAATGCAGCACAGCTCAAGTTCTAGACAATGCACTGGGTCTATATTCAGAATTACTAAATGAAAGGAGTGCTATTTGCATCCCATTCCAATCAATGGAAACTATTGATTGCATTTTGATTGCATTCTACTGACTTGGATCCTGCAGTCTAGCTGGTGTGCACACAGGGCCACAGACTGTCTAATAAAGCAGTAATACATACAAAATCCCATATTTCCATAGCTTGTGTGCAAAGTGTGCACTAGGCACTGGTTATTCGTCAAGACACAGCAACGAATGCATGGTCTTCTGCTACGTTCACGGTTCTGTAGAGCAGAGGGAATGATTTAAGTATTATAGTGCTAATATTTCCCAATAGCCAAAGAGCCCAAGTTAGAAAGGTCGACTAAAACCCAATCTGTTTAGGAGTGTATATGCAAGTATTTCAACTTTTCCCAAAATATATATTTATAGTAAAAATATATATCTCCTCTAAAAATAGATCAGGAAACTGGAGGTCACACTTAAATATAAACCTTGATAAAAGTCCAAGAATGGAAATTTCAGACTCAACAGCACATTCAAGGCTAGGCTGCAAAAGCAACTTAATTTTTGGCAGGGCTGTCTTTCAGCTTGGACTTGTGGTACTTCTGCCCAATGCCATATGGCACGTGCGCAGCAATCGTACCCAGCTGCCGCGCTCCCTCTATGTGAAACATCTGATCATCAAAGAAAATATGAGGTCTGATTTTTGCCAGGACTGGTCCCTTAGGTGCCCCTGCGAGGAAGAGGGCTTCATCAATCTGCACGCCCCAGCTGCGGAGAGTCTTCAGCACTCGGGCCCCAGAACTGGCGGCGCTTCTGGCAGTCACCAGATAGGTTCTGATTGGCGAATCTAGCCGTTCGTTCTTCGTGTAGAACTTCTTCTGGAGTCGTCCAAGGTCTTCCAGGAAACCTTTCAAAGGACCCTAAAGGCAAAAAATATCAGAAACACATTTACCATATGGAGACTGGTGATTCAGAAGAGAACTATGAGGGTTATAAAAAGCGTAAAGGATGAAAAAAAGTTTTAGCTAGAGAAAAGGTGCACAGGACATTGCTTTAGGCTAAGTTTGATCACTGTACCATTTATTATTATTATTATTATTATTATTATTATTATTATTTGTATACCGCCCTATACCCGCAGGTCTCCGGGCGTACAAGATAAAATCGCAATATAAAAACACAAAATATATAATTAAAATGAAAACGAAAACAACCCAATAACCCCCACCCCCAACTTTTTAAAAGGGCACTGGATGTCAATTATCTAGTGCAGCATTTCCCAACCTTGGGCCTCCAGCTGTTTTTGGACTACAACTCCCATAATCCTCAGCTAGCAAGACCAGTGGTCAGGGATGATGGGAATTGTAGTTCGAAAACAGCTGGAGGCCCAAGGTTGGGAAACGCTGATCTAGTGCAGCATTGACCAAACCAAGGTTTCCCAAACTTGGGTCTCCAGCTGTTTGTGGACTAAAACTCGCATCATCTCTAACTAGCAGGACCACTGGTCAGGGATGATGGAAATTGTAGTCCAAAAACAGCTGGAGACTGAAGTTTGGGAAACCCTGGACCTGGGGTCAAGAAGCAGTAGGTTTAAACTACCAGCTGCAGTTTCCATTAAACGTAAGAGAATGTTGGCTTCCATCCTTGTCTTTCTTTTGGAGACTAAACATTTGGATGGTTCTACCAGGGTACCCAGGATGCAGGTGGTGCTGTGGGTTAAACCACTGAGCCTAGGACTTGCTGATCAGAAGGTCGGCGGTTCGAATCCCCGCAACGGGGTGAGCTCCCGTTGCTCGGTTCCTGCTCCTGCCAACCTAGAAGTTCGAAAGCACATCAAAGTGCAAGTAGATAAATAGGTACCACTCCGGCAGGAAGGTAAACAGCGTTTCCGTGCGCTGCTCTGGTTCGCCAGAAGCGACTTAGTCATGCTGGCCACATGACCCGGAAGCTGTACGCCGGCTCCCTCGGCCAATAAAGCGAGATGAGCGCTGCAACCCGAGTCGGTCACGACTGGACCTAATAGTCAGGGGTCCCTTTACCTTTACCTTACCAGGGTACCCAACCTTATCAGGACAGGACGTTAAAGATTTATTGTTGTTCTTCTAAAACAGAATCTGTTTCCAATCTAAGATTCTTCCACAGACCTTTCCAATGCTTGTTAAGGCTTCCAATAACTTAGGGGGTAAAATTATAGCAAACGTTGACCACCATACCTGTGCCAGAGGCTTGTTCTCATTTAGTTGCTCATGCTCAAAAAACCTATCCAGGCCATGTTCTTTCACAATTATTTCAGACTCGTCAGAAAACAGAACGGCGTCTCCATCAAAGGCTACTCGGAGTTGCTTGTCATCGTAAGGGACGTTTTTATTCCCAGTGAACAATGTGGCTGCAGCAATTCCTGCGGAAATATTTCAGAAGTCGTTAGGTCTGTATCTGTATCTCGTGTAAGTTAAAGGCCATTGTTATAAGAGCATTATAAAGGATCACACCTTGGTGGTAAACATAGGGGCTCATGTGCTTGTTGTAGTAAACATTTTCTGGCTAAACCACTGCCCTTCTAGAGTAACTAAGGCTGCAGTCCTAAACACACTAGGAAATAACCCCCACTGAATGCAAAAATGCATCCAATTGTGCTGCTAGGCTGCAATCACTGTTTGCACAATTGCTTAGGAGCAAGTCCCAGGCTGGACACAAATTCAGACTGCATTCATTTTTATGTCAACTGAGTTTGCTCACTAGGAGGCCATACTTTCATCATTTATAATTAGGACTCATATGTAACTGAAAAACTTCCATTTTCTTAAACCCAATGGCATTGGCCCGATGAAATGGACCCATCTTACTATTATGTTTCTTCATTTCTACAGACGTCTGTAGAATACTTTGGATGACAGCCCATATACTTGAAATCTGTACTAAGTGTAAGGCAACTGCAGTCTACCACGCTGCATATCCTGGGGCTCAAAATTCAGGATGTTCCCGCTGGTCCAAAAAGGCTGGTGACCCTTGGGCTAGTGTATGACTGAAGCAAGCAAAGAACTTGTCCACACCTTCTTCTATGGCTTCTTGAACTTTTTCAGAGTCAGCAGAAAGGTACAAATTCGTAAGGTATGCTTTTAGGTACCCGATGGGAGACTTCCCTCCAGTCATGCAGAACCTTTCAATTAGCAGGCCTGGAATGGATAAGAATTTTTATTTTATTTTTAAGAATCATTTGATGCACAAGACACACAGGTTTTCTTGCAATACGATCACGTGGCAGCTGTGTTCTCCTTTGGGAGGCATGTAGGGAGCTGGTTTAAATGGGAGAGGTGAGAGATGCTTCCAATCCGATGTTAATTTCTCTGGTCTCTACATGAGAATCTGAAAGAGATCTGCCACACCATCATACAGGAGAGCAGCATCAGTTATGGACTTGGCCTCCTGGAATTTGGTTGCAACCTGCTACGTACAGTTACTTACAATTTAATAATTACACGGGACAAGTATTTGATTTGGTCTCAGCCACGGAGGACATTTGAATACATTTGGCTTCTCCCCAAACAATAAATTTGGGGACAGACAGCTACATCATTATGGTGGTCAGGCAGGGATTGTGGTACCCTACCTGACAACAACTCCTACCACAATGTTCCTTAGCCTGATCTATTCCACCACCCCCTAAACTTTGGATTAGTGAAAATCACACGTAAGTGAAAATCAGATGCTGCACACAAAACCCTCAGAAAGGCCAGTCAAAATCCAATTACCTAGTCACCCCAGTGCAGGGACTGGCCCCAGCAATCACAGCCAATAGACAGGGTTGATGGGACTTGTATTCCACCAACATCTGGAAGGGGCCACAGGTCCCCCAACCCAGCCCTAGCTAGTTCGTCCCAACTCTACAGCCCCCCCCCTTGTGATTTTTATGTCGCTCAATTCCTCCTTGCCATTTTCAATTCCATCCATGTCCTCTGTGCTCCTCCCCTAGCTTCGCAGTCCTTCCTTCGCAGCTTTCAGTTGCATCGCTCCCCAAATCCAGCCCATTTTTCAAGGCCAGGGGTGGGGACACAGCAGATGTGACAAGATGGGAAAGCACCAAATCATCTTGGAGAGGAGGAGATATGGAGCGAGGGTGAAACCATGTTGCTTTTCAGCCAGGTTGCCAGATGTCCAACAACATTAATCTGTGGGACATTTGGAGCCAGTTATGACAGCTTCTTATATCTGGCAAGTAAATCTTGCCAGGCATAACTCAAGTAATTCTTTCAGATATATCTTTAATCTAGGGCTACCCTAGCCTCTGTTGGGTTCCAGAAATCCCACAGGATTCTGCACAGAGGTGCAGGAGGAAACCCAGCCTTCTCTCGAATTGTGCTGAGGAGGCACAACAGTGAGACACATGACACAGTGACGGGGAAGTAGCAGAAACACAGCCAGATGGGCAGGAACTCAGACCTCTAGACTCACCGTAATGGTTAATGCTGTTGATAAGTCTCACCCCGACTTGAGCGTGGTTATTAGTCATAAGCACAATATCAAACAGCTCTTCATCATCTGGATACAGCTCACGGAGTCGGGCGTTCACCAGCTCAACTGCCTGTGGATGGGCAAACATAGAGGAGTTCATGCGTTGGCTCAATTTTAGCTGTTTTCATCAGATCTTCTGACCGGGACATGTGGGAAGCTGTCTAGAAAAAGAATGCACTTGCCAGCTGAACTTCCATAATGTGCTCTATTAATAAGCGGGCCTGCTAAATTTTGGTGCAAAAGGAACAAACCCAAACCCCACCTTCTAACAGTTATGGAGAAAGTGCATTTTACAGTTTTCAATTTGGGTACCTACGATTATCGATTGATTGTAAGGTTAGCTATCCTAGAGCTGTATATACCCAAGGCTGTTCAGCTTGGCATCCGTTTTTTCAGGGGTGGGTGGGGAGAAGAGAAAGGAAATCCTTTCCAACTACTGAGCAGAATGTAGTAGACACCACTGCATACAAAAATGAAAGCAATGAAGAAAACGGAAGTGTTTACACACTGCAGAGAATGCTGCCAGTCTTGCTTTCAAAAGAGTTAGGAATGATAATGATGATGATGATTTATTACTTATACCCCACGCATCAGGCTGGGTTTTTCCAGCCATTCTGGGTGGCTTCCAATAGAATAATAATAATAAAGTGATAAAACATTAAATCTTAAAAAGCTTCCCTATACAGGGCTGCCTTCAGATGTCTTCTAAAGGTTACCTAGTTACCCATCTCCTTGACATCTGATGGGAGGGCATTCCACAGGGTGGGTGCCACTACCAAGAAGGTTCCCTGTAACCTCACTCCTTGCAGTAAGGGAACCACCAGAAGGCCCTTGGAGCTGGACCTCAGTGTCCGGGCTGAACGATGGGGGTGGAGATGCTCCTTCAGGTATACTGGGCCGAGGTCAGGTCGTTTAGGGCTTTAAAGGTCAGAACCAACACTCTGAATGGTGCTCAGAAATGTACTGTAGGTCTTTCAGGACTAGTGTTATATGGTCTTGGCAGCCACTCCCAGTCACCAGTCTATCTGCCGCATTCTGGATTAGTTGTAGTTTCCAGGTCACCTTCAAAGGTAGCCCCACGTAGAGCGCATTGCAGTAGACCAAGCGGAAGATAGTCAGAGCATGCAGCACTCTGGGGAGACAGTCTGTGGGCAGGTAGGGTCTCAGAATATAGGAAGTTGCCTGATAATGGTATGAGACCATTTGTCCCTCTAGCTGCATAGTGTCTACATGGGCCACACAGCTGCTCTTAGGTGTTTCAGATGGGAGACATTTCCAGCTCTTCTGAGAGGCTGGAGACAGACGTTGGCTACATGCAGAGCCGATGCTCTAGCAGAGCTCCAAATCTTCCATGTTGCTTTTCCCCATTGTGCGCTAAGCTACTTTGAAAACACAGATCTTTATCCCAGTCTCAACAGAATGAACTATTGGATCATCTCTACTTTTCACTTGGTCTCGCTTAGGATTATGAGGCACAATGGGAATCAATTATCTCCCTCAAGTTTCACTCTCGGGTTTTGGTGCACTCATTTAGAACTCCCAGCCCCTCAGTAAAAAATGGCCTGGAACCCCCAAACATCATTTTTGTGAGTGTATTTTCAAGGAACCACACCAGAGAAATCAGGAAGCCATCTTTTCTATTTGCTCTAACTCTGAAAGTCTGTGTGTTTATCTGGCAGCAGGATTATGTAACATGCAGCCGGATTATTGCTTTTGGGCAGAGGCAGGGAAAGGAGAGGAAAACCGGGTGGCAGGGAGGGAGAATTGCAGCTCTGGGATGCAGAAAATGATAATATATATATATATATATATATATAGCCCCTACGGAACTGGATTGCTTAAGAGGAAGCTGGTTTACCTTTACCAAGGCAAAAGCTGGGCCGGGCTTCAGGGTGACGTTCTCGTTCGCCTGCTGATACTCCACATACTTTTCCACGCCTTGCTCTTCGTAGATTTTCCTCTCTTCCACCATATCAAAGAGAGCCCGGGAGGAAACAGCGATGGTGATGGCGTTTTGGGGTTTGGGCTGCAGGAGGGAAAATAATGATGATGATAACATTATTGAGGAGACAGCCCTATGGGGGAAGAGTGTGTGTGTGCCATGGATGCAGCTAGGATTTAAGTTAGGAGGGGGGCAGGCTTTAAGTGGGGAGGCAGAACCTCCGTTAGTTATTTTTATATATTTACTTGATTTAGGGGGGCAGCTGTTCCCTCCCCCCCCTAAGCCCATGGTGTGTGCGTATGTGTGTGAGAGATGGGGAGCGCAGGAAGGGGGGGGGCGCATGAGAAAGAGAGATGGAGGCCAGTCTTAATTGTTTTACAGAGAAAACCAGCGAGGGGCGTGTAACCACTTGGGGCGAGGAGCAGCGGTACAAGGAAGAAAGGGACAGCCATTTAGTGGTTGGGGGAAGGAAGGACTCGCTTGCGCCATTGCGCAGCCCCTCCTAGGAAGCAAGTTGCAGCTGCTGTTACCCTTTGTGCGCTTCCTTGGACCCCAGAGGGCGGGATCTCTTACTCCCGAGTAAAAAAACCAGCAACAAACCCCGTGGCCTTGCACTGCACTTTTTTTTTCCAACTCACGGGCCGGGGTCTCTTAGTGGAGGCGAGGCTTTCGTAGGCAGCCTTGGCCGCTTCCCAGTCTTGCTCGGCGACGGCCACTTCCTCCTCGGAGAGCAGCTCCATTTTGCAGCCGCGCTGCTCGTCTTTGTCCGGGTTGCAGCCGCTCATCATTCGGCCTGGAGTCGCTGGCTGGGGCTCGACGGCGCGCAGCCGGCCGAAAGGGCACCCGCAAAGGGAGGGAAGCTTCACAGAGCGCCAGGCACCCCTCGGACGCGCCGGCAACTGCTCCGGCTCGAGGGGGGAAGAAAGGGCATGCCTCGGGCCCCGTCGTTTCCCGTCTTCTCGGCACGCCCGTCCGCGCCTCTCTCCGCCACACCCTTTGCCCCCAGGCACAGGGCGGGGAAGACGGGAGGAGGAAGCCGGGCTGCGCCTCGGAGCGCCGGTGCCTTTTCGCTCAGGCGAGAGGAGGAAGCGCCGTCGAACCGGTCGGGCGGCGATCGTGCGCGCAAAGAGGCGCGCCTTTCCTGGGTTGCAGTGGACGTTTAGGCGCGCCTATCTCCTCAGGGTTGTGTTAAGGGGGACTCGCATCCCACGACTAGGATCCGGCTGGAGATCACGCACAGTAACAATAATGATATAATAATAATTTATTGCTTATATGCCACCCATCTGACCGGTTTGCCCCAGCCACTCTGGGCTTCTCCCAACAAAAAATAAATAAATAGTAAAAACACAAAGCAACATCACACTACTAAAAACTTCCCTGTACACAGGGCTGCCTTTGGGTGTCTTTTAAAAATCACAAAATGACATCTGCTGGGAGGGCGGGACAATATTAGAATTGTAGAATTGTTGGGTTGGAAGGGGTCCCCAAGGGCCATCTAGTCCAACCCCATGAAATGCAAAAAACTCGGCTAAAGCATCATGACAGATGGCCATCCAAGCTCTGATTTAAAACCTCCAAGGAAGGAGAGCCCACCACTTCCCGAGGGAGACTGTTCCACTGCCGAACAGCTCTTACTGTCAGAAAGTTTTTCCTGACGTTTCATTGGAATCTCTTGTCACTCATATTCATTCTTTCATTCATTCATCCCCTGCCTACACCCATCCACATTCCATACTAACCATCCCCACAGCAAAACCTTGCAGAATGCAAAACCTCCTGCCATGCACATAATCATCTGTCGTAATTATGGGATTTTTGCTAATGATCAATAAAGAGTTTGGCTTATCTGATTCGTGAATTTGACTCAAAGAAGAAGAGGGACACGGTGTTTCTATGCGCTGCTCTGTGTCCAGAGGAGGGCAACCAAAATGGTCAAAGGCCTGGAAACGATGCCTTATGAGGAACGGCTAAGGGAGCTGGGCATGTTTAGCCTGGAGAAGAGGAGGTTAAGGGGTGATATGATAGCCATGTTCAAATATATAAAAGGATGTCACATAGAGGAGGGAGAAAGGTTGTTTTCTGCTGCTCCAGAGAAGCGGACACGGAGCAATGGATCCAAACTACAAGAAAGAAGATTCCACCTAAACATTAGGAAGAACTTCCTGACAGTAAGAGCTGTTCGAAAGTGGAATTTGCTGCCAAGGAGTGTGGTGGAGTCTCCTTCTTTGGAGGTCTTTAAGCAGAGGCTTGACAACCATATGTCAGGAGTGCTCTGATGGTGTTTCCTGCTTGGCAGGGGGTTGGACTCGATGGCCCTTGTGGTCTTTTCCAACTCTATGATTCTATGATTCTATGGTTCTCCAGAAGCGGCTAAGTCATTTTGGCCGCATGACCTGGCCGGCTCCCTCGGCCAATAAAGCGAGATGAGCGCCGCAACCCCAGAGTTATCCGTGACTGGACCTAATGGTCAGGGGTCCCTTTACCTTTACTCAAAGAAGAAACCTTTGACTGGACCTAAGAATTGATCCATACTTTTACATGTTTGCTGTGCACACATCATGAAATGTGAAGTGGTGGCAAATCTTTGTAGAAACTGCATTTGTCAGTAGGCTCTGAATGGCTGCAGCTCCTTTGCACAAGCCTACAGTATGTTTACAACGATATGTCATCATTATTTTGTTATTTATATGCTGCCATTAAAAACTTTCCTGAACAGGGCTGCCTCCAGATGTCTTCTAAAAGTCAAATACAGTGGTGCCCCACAAAACGAATGCCTTGCAAGACGAAAAACTCGCTAGACGAAAGGGTTTTGCGTTTTTTGAGCTGCTTCGCAAGACGAATTTCCCTATGGGCTTGCTTCGCAAGACGAAAAACGAAAACGTCTTGCAAGTTTGTTTCCTTTTTCTTAACACCGTTAATACAGTTGCGACTTGACTTTGAGGAGCAACTCATAGAACGCGGTGTGGTAGCCTTTTTTGAGGTTTTTGAAGACTTTGGTGATTTTTGAAGCTTTTCCAAAACTTCTTTTGCAGCCATTTGGTAAGTTAAACTTTTAAAACTTTTTGGGGGGGTTTTGGATTTTGGGTTGGGGTGTTTGGAATTCAAGGACTTGGTGTTGGGGAGGGATTTGCAAGAATCTGGAAGCTTGTGTGGTTTTTTCTGCATTTTTAGGATTTTCTGTGACCATTGGGCCACTCTGCTGTTTTTTTAAAAAAATTCTGGATTTGAATTTCTGTGTGGTGGGTGGCTGGGGGAACAGTTGAGGAGGGGATTCTTCAGCAAGAAGCAAAGAGTGGAAGGGGAACCTTCTTCGAGTTGTCCCCCAGAATCTTAGAAAATGTACTGTACACTTTGTTGATTTTTAAATGTTTTTCTGTCATGTTTAGAAACTTAATTTATTGTTCCTTCAATTTTTGAAATGCTCTTTACAGTATGTGTGACTTTAAAGAGCACTTAATAAACTCTTGTTGAACCAAATTTGGCTTTGTTTGGACTTTTTTTGACCATAGGAACGCATTAATTGAATTTCAATGCATTCCTATGGGATTTCGTGCTTCACAAGACGAAAAATTCGCTAGACGAAAAAACTCGCGGAACGAATTAATTTCGTCTTGCAAGGCACCACTGTAGTTGTTTATCTGTTTGACATCTGATGAGAGGGCGTTCCACAGGGATGGCGCCACTACCTAGAAGGCCCTCTGCCTAGTTCTCTGTAGTTTCAACTCTCACAGTGAGGGAACCACCAGTAGGCCCTCGGAGCTGGACCTCAGTGTCTAAGCTGGACAATGGAAGTGGAGACCTCCTACACTTCTAAGAAATTAACTCTGGTGAGCACCAGTGTGTAAGTGGCAAAATCTCTTTCCTTGTAAATTATGAATTTGCATTTTGAGCTTCCAAAAAATCACACCCATGTTTTAGTTTCAATGCCGACCCATCCATGCTGAGCATAACCAGAGAAATGTCATGATATATGCTGTAATCGTGTGCAGACTTACTATATGGTAGGTTCCATTGAATTCAGTGGGACATACTTCCAAACAAATGTGCTTAGGGATTGTACTGTAGGTTTTTGAAAAGTGTGTTGCACTCAGGATAGGCTTTAATACTTTCTATTCATTTTATTCTCTCTTGATAGTCTTAGCACACAGTCTTTTTCAAACTGGGGCAGGATTTCTGCAAGATTAGTACCACCATCTGTGGTGGAAAATTAAGATTTATTTTTTATGTTGGCCTTTCAAACCTTTTCAGACTAATTCATGAGCAGGAGAGGGGCATTTCCTGAGTGTTTTTAACGTGATGTATTCTCTCCAATCCAGCTACCTTCTCTGATTACAAGAGTGGTTCATTTCCCCTCATTATTCTCAGTCTTAATGCAGTTAGTGATTTCAGGCTGGCCACAATAACTGATTTGATAAATCAATCCACCGTTTTAGTTGTATGCAGCCTTTTATTCACTGCACAGGCCTTTCCAGATAATTAGTGCAATGAGGCCACAGTTGTTGTTGATTTATTGCAGACAGTCTACACGTCCTCCCTACATATTTGTGGCAGGGATATAATGTTCCTGAACATTTAAACCACGGTGTTTTGTCACTTGCAAACTTTAGTTTCCATGTAGGTGTGACGTGGCACCCCCATGGCTGCAGTGGGCCCCATTGGGCATCCCTGTGGCTGTGATGGGCCTCACGGCCTCCTCCCAGCATGTGACATCACACATGTGTCCCGTGCGCGTGTTGTCACATGCGCAATGGGCCCCCCCAAAGTTGGGCGGAAACCGGATGTGGGATGTGAAACACAAGAGCAGTCAAGTACAACATCCCTAGAGTGGACATAAAAGGGGATGTCTGGACCAGCCAGTCGGAACTTCCTGTTTCTCATAGGCTGGGACAGACTTCCTCTGCATGTGACTAGAGGTGGGCTTGACCTCACCTGCCCAGGTAACAATAGAGCAGGACTGGTCAGCCATCTCTCTCTCTCTCTCTCTGACCACATTTGTTGAAGAAGCAACATCTGCTTAGCCTAAGATGCTTCCAGCCAAGAGAGGACAAAGGGACTATCTCCTTATGGGATAGTTTCCAGGTATATTTCTTTTCTAACTTAAGTCTGCCTTCTGGGATCCATTTGTGAACAGAATGTGAGTGAGTAAACTCTTTTGATACTTTTATAGAAGACTGTGTCATGTCTATCTTTTTATGAGGGACTAAAGGAGAAATTATCAACAAAACTTATTATAGAGGCTTTAGCAAGCCTGAGCAAACACATCCACTGTGCAAGTTTAAAAAGGGGAATGTTACTCTGCTAAATTGTAGAACTTGTTAACACAAGTTGGAAAGGATATAATCAAACAATATACAGTGGTACCTTGGGTTAAGAACTTAATTCGTTCTGGAGGTCTGTTCTTAACCTGAAACTGTTCTTAACCTGAAGCACCACTTTAGCTAATAGGGCCTCCTGCTCCCGTTACGCCGCTGCTGCATGATTTCTGTTCTCATCCTGAAGCAAATTTCTTAACCCGAGGTACTGTTTCTGGGGTAGCGGAGTCTGTAACCTGAAGTGTATGTAACCCGAGCTACCACTGTATCCTCTCCTGCATCCCTGAACATTCCCACACTGGAGCCTACAATTCAAAGAAACAAAACAGCTGAGGGCTAGTGAGCACAACAACTCATCCTGATAGATCTTGCCCCAATGAGGCATCTGCGAGAACTGAAGGTCCCTGCCTTCTTGCATTTCCCTCAGCTGCCTCTTACCCTGGGTCCATCCCAAGCAATCTGAGAGCTGGATGCCAACATTATCCTGTTGGAAGGAAGGAGGGAAAGAAGGAATTTGACTATCCCTTTTGCCCTATAAAGACCCCAGGACGGTTAAGTCCAGTCAAAGGTAACTGGGGTTGCGGCGCTCATCTCGCTTCAGGCTGAGGGAGCCGGCGTTTGTCAACAGACAGCTTTCCGGGTCCTGTGGCCAGCATGAGTAAACCACTTCTGGTGCAACGGAACACTGATGGAAATGAGAGCACATGGAAACACCGTTTACCTTCCCGCTTCTTTATCTACTTGCATTGGCATGCTTTCGAACTGCTAGATTGGCAGAAGCTGGGACAGAGCAACGGAAGCTGACTCTGTCATGGGGATTTGAACCACTGACCATCCGATCGGCAAGCCCAAGAGGCTCAGTGGTTTAGACCACA